TATCTCTGGCCTAAGGCAGCTAAAACAGCTATCTACATCCAAAACCGCATTCCACACCGATCAATCAACTAGCAGTCGCCACATAAAGCACTCGCAGCCTATCTAGGCGATAATACACCACATTAGCTACAGGCTAAACCTAACCTTTCAAATGTACGAATCTTTGGATGCAAGGCCTACGTGCGTATCAACAAGCTACCAAGGCTAGCTAAGCTTGCACCACGCGCAGCTATCGGCTACCTAGTAGGCTATAAAGCACACAACATTTAGCGCATTTGGATACCTACCAACCGACGGGTCATTCGTGCAAGAGACGTCCAATTCAACGAGGAAGAATTCTACAACCCTTCCTTGCCTAACCAGAAGATTCGTATCTACGAAGACACCAACCTTACGCAGCCGATTACTACTCTCGACGATAAGGAAACATCACGAATCCTCGATGATATCGACCTTCCAATTACCGACCAAACTATGCAGCAAGATCTAGGGGGTGGAAGCCCTACTACGACTACTACGGCCAATTTCGATCATGCTACACCTTCTCAACTCTCACATTCACCTCACATTAAGCTTACCTCCAACCAAAACGCTTCTACTTCTAATCATAACGAAATCCTTGGAGATCAACCAATCACTCCACCACTCGATCCAAAATCAGACGATTCAATTACCGATTCAGACCAATCTACTCACGATACTGACCAAATGCAACCATTTATCCTTATTGACAACACAAACTTTGATCCTTCCGGCTACGAACCTCTCTATATACCAAATAAACGCCCACGATCCGATTCAGATACTAGCCGAGATCAAGATGAGGTAAAACGACCTCACTTCAGCCTCACTACGTTTACGCAGGCCTTCATGCTAGATCAAAACAAGCAACCAAAAATCCTGATCTCATCAATTCCTCCTGCACCTTCCGGCTACAATCAGCTAGTCAGCCACCCTTTCGAAGACCAATTCCGCCATGCTATACAGATTGAATTCAACAAGCTTCTCGATATACGCGCATTCGAACCAATCAGCGCACAGCTCGTCACACACGCACACCAGACGAATTACACTACCGACCAATCAGCTTGCCCACGCCACCAATTCATCAATATGCGATAGGTATTTGCCTATAAATCAGACGAGTCAGGCTATCTCACACGATTCAAAGCACGCTTATGCGTACGGGGAGACACCCAAATCCCTGATGACCAAGACGCTCGCACTAGCACCCTTGCTGCTAGAACCTTTCGCACACTTATTACGATTATCACACGATTCGACCTCGAAACCTTCCAGATAGATGCAGTCAATGCATTCCTAAACAGCACACTCAAGGAAGAAGTTTACTGCCGATATCCACCAGGATTAGGCAAGAAATCGATGGTTCTTCGCCTCCATAAAGCAGTATATAGCCTACGAATCGCTGGTAAGAGATAGGAAGATAATATCAAAGAGATGCTTCTCTCACTAGGTTTTAAACCTTGCCCTGATGACCCTGCCCTCTACACCGATAATCGTATAATCATTATGGTATTTGTTGACGACTTCCTCGCTGCCTACCATCGAAATAAGAGCTTGCACGCTCAACAGATTAAAGATCTACTCTCACAACGATTTGAAATGAAAGATTGTGGCGAATTAACTCAATTCATTGGGATACGAATCGTACGCGATCGATTGAAACGAAAAACCTGGCTCAACCAAGCAGCATACATCGAAAAGATCGCTGCTAGATTCAACCTACTCAACAACCACCAAAAGATTCTACATACACCACTTCCTATTACCCAGAAGCTTGATCCGATTCTGTCAGAACCGATCGATCCAAAGACTATCAAGCTATACCAACAGAAATGTGGATCGACCCTTTTCCCTGCCGTCTGGACCCGACCAGACACTGCATTTGCCAACCAATTGCTAGCGAAATCGCTTACTCGCTGCAATCAGAAGCATTTAGACGCCGCAGACCATTTGATATCCTATCTATATCAAACGAAACACCTTTCTCTCTGTTTTGACAATGAGATGAGAGCTACGATCTTCACTGCCGCTTCAGATGCAAGCTTTGCTGATAACCCTGATCGCAAAAGCTCTGAAGGATTCATCTTCTGCCTATTCGGTAGCCCGATTGAATGGAAATCGCGCAAGCAAAAGACTATCACCACATCGACGACCGAAGCCGAATTACTTGCGATTAGCCACGCGGCTAAGCAGCTATATTGGATCAAACGCCTCTTCTCCTTCATCCAATTCGAAACCGACCAATTAGACATGATTCAATGCGACAACCAGCAAACAGTCGATCTACTCACCCGCGAGAAATCTTCATTCCAAACCAAACTTCGTCATGTCGATATTCATCAGCTTTGGATACGACAGGAAGCACAGGCAAAACGATTACGAATCGAATGGGTTAGATCAGCCGAAATGCCAGCTGATGGACTCACAAAGCGCTTATCGGCCGAAAAACATGCTGCCTTTATACGACAACTAGGCATAGAAATTGTTCCAATCTCCTAGAAGACTCCTGTCCTCTCTGTTCCATCTCATTCAGCTCTCACTTTGACCTCATATCGAGAGCTAAGGGGGTGTGTCAACATATCAACATATGTGTGTGCATAAGCCCTCGATTATCAATATAGCGCGCATGCATCAGCCTGCAGATCAATTATTGATGTTGATCATCAATATCAACATCAGATAAAAAAGCAACGAGAATCCCCAACACTCTCGTATTTTCCTTCTATTATTTCGGGTATTCTTCGAACTTCTCTTGTGATCTTTCAATGTGTACCTTATGTTATAAATACTGCCTAATTCTCTAGTAAAAAAGAACAAGTTTGACATCTTTCATATTCATAACTAGAGCTTCTAGGCCTACCTGACCATACTGCGTTGACCTGCCACTGCTCAACCTTTCTGTCTAAAACTGCCGCTCTTCGCTCTCTCGTGGATAGTCTCTCTTCCACAATCGTAGATCTATGATTAGATCGTACGACCTTTCGACCCCCGACCGTGCACGAACGATTCGTGTACACACTAGGATTTATGCGCACTGTATAAATCCGATAAGAATCAACATGAGTGAATTTAATGTCCAATTACTCCGCCTCCTGGTAGGGACTAAGGTCACCACTCTTTCCTGTTTCTTATCTCAATCGTGTGTAGAAGGGCTTTGATTCTAAAATGTCGATGTAGATGAGTCAATATGGGACAGAAAGAGGCAATTTGATTGGACTCTAAAAGCGGTAGGTCTCATTGCCACGTGATCTTTATCAATATTGTCAAGGGCCTGTTGCGTACGGAGTTGAGGCAACTTAGCGAAGGTTCTATTTCAGCATTACGTCAGGTAAGGTGGTGAAGGATAAGCAGCAGAACGTCTGTTTTTGATGTTCATCAATAATTCTCGGGATTCCTTCCTTTTATCCACCTCATACGATTACGAATCCCTTCAGTTTTATCAGATCTCTTCTCTATCATCATCCCCCTCTCAAACCACCTGTTCACCAGATTCTTCACCATGAGTGAATTCGACTCCCGTTTCCTCCGCCGCCTGGTAGGGACCAAGGTCACCACCTTTCTCGAATTCGACCCCCTGCAACAGCCGTCTGCTGTTTCTTCCTCCGCGTCTGCCGCCTCTCTCTCTGCGGCCCCACTTGGGGCTTCCCCACCCGGAATCTCCCCGCTAGCCGCCTCGCCCCCCTCTGCAGCCTCGCCGTCGGCGGTCTCGCTCGCTACGGACTCTGCCGCAGCGGCCACGCTTAATACGGCAACATCCACAACGGCCCCTTCCATTTCCTTGTCTGGTTCGCCCCCGCCAGAGATTGGTTGCTCGTGGATAATCACGAAAAAGCTGTCAGAGAGGGCTGTTCACCTCACACAGGAAGACGTTGATATGGGCGGTGGGTCACCCATGACAGTAGGTAAATTTTTATGCTGTCTAGAGGAGGACCCGACGCGAATGGCCTTCATGCGAATTTATTATCAGATTCCCATCACTGGGACTGAGGACGCTGATCTGGCCACACTAGCCCAACAAATCCAACCTCCTGAAGTGTGTGGTGAACTTGAGGCGTTTAGGCTGCTAATGAGTCAAGGGTGTAGCTCTGTCCCACGTTTCTATGGCTACTGCGAAAAACAGCAAGGGGAGCATGACCTTGTTCCTGGAGGCTTTGTCAAGTACGTTGTGTGGGAGAAGGTGCCTGGGGAGCCTCTTACAGAGGAATTTTTCTGGAGCTTGGATCCTGGTACACGAGAGGATATCCGTGTTCATTTCCGTGCTGCCTTCGAGTGAGCTTACGCAAACCCAAGATAGTAGACTGGCAGAGCGCTAATACATTTAATAGAAAGATGCTACGTTGTGGTGTAAAACCACAGATGTCTAGAATCTCCAAGATCATTTATGATCAGTCCACCGGCAATGTGTACGTCAAGGATCCTACATATATTAGAAACACTTACTAATTGCTCATGAGTCTAGTCGCATCTCAGGCTTCCGAAGAGGATGGCCAATCCGTGATAAATTGGAATGGTCAGACTCCCGTTATGTCGAGTACAGGCTGGCCAAGCGACACCACGACAGAGACTGGCCCTCTGACCCGCGGAAATGGAAGTATTAAAAAATCAGCCGTGTTGTAGTTAGTGAGTCTCAGAATGAGATTGAATCGCTTTTCCCCTTGAATGTCTTCTGCAAGTCGAAGGTTTCATGTATCTGAAGAGCTTACTTATTACTTGTAGCGGATACGATAACGTAGATTTAATCTCTAGAGAAAGCACCCAATGATGATCGCCTGTCTGCAGATGAGAACGAGGTCAGTAGAATTTGTTCCACACTATCTCGGCACAACCCATCTCGGCGTGGTGTTGTTGACTACTCCATGATTCAACGCATCGCACCCTACATAAAAGAAACATTGCCTAGCGGAGACAGCATGGGGATTCGTCCGGTGCCTGTCGTAAGTGTCAGACGACCGGACCACGGGAGAATACTCGATCCTCTATGCCCCTTGGCTATCCACTAGCTGTCTGAGAAAAATTGTCTCTTCGTAGTTGCTCATAAATCCATACACACACCCTAGCCCCTGCATATACTTGATCGGCTGAGCAAGTATTATCCTTAGCTGGTCGACGTCGTTGTATTTATCTTCTAGCCAGTGATCCGCAATCCATGGCACCTTGAGCTCTCCAGCGACCTTCACATGGTGATTGTCGTCCTTCAGGATCACATCAGGCGTGCCACTGAAGGTAGACTGTACGCATTTGAAATCTGCAAAGCGTATTCCGGTTGAGTGTGATGTGAAGACAGAATTGAGCACGTCGCCAAAGTGCTTGTGGAAACGGCCTAGAAGACCATGTTCATCACCAATTTCGACGTTTCCCTGGGCATAAGGGTCTCGTGTCTTAAGTGTCAGGGCTAGGGTCTGACTGCGAAAAGTGTAATTCTGGTGTGCCGTCTGCACAGAGCTCAAAAAGCCCTGCCATGGCTGAAGGACACCAGTAAACTCGAGGTCGTGTAAGGCGCTGTGTTGTGTATGGTATGGGCCAAGTAGGAGCTGCGGCGGCGCGGACGCAATCAACATCTCGGGACCGATATGGAGCGCCGGACGAGACATCTTGAGAGGGTCGTTCTTGACGTCAAGGCTATTAGCATCATCCTAAGTGAGCAGCGTATACTGACACAAATCGCAGAGAGTACTTACGGAGCAAGGATTAAGCGGTAGGAGCTTGACTTTAGGGCTAAGAGTTGGATTTCGTCGAGCAGGGAGAGAGTGAAGACGATGCAGGGTGATGTCAGTCAGTTGGGACAGTTGTTGATCTTGGCCAAGCAAGAGCGCGTATCTCAGCTGGAGGGACGCGACTCTGGCGATGCACCTCACCAGTTGTATAAAACCCATATCACGATAACACAAGAAGAATACATAACCAGAATTCGACCAATGACTGAGTTAGGATACGAAGCACCACAATTATTGGCACCAGTTGCGGGACACGGTGTATATATGCGGTGCCTATGACGAGGTACGGACTAAAAAGCATCTGTTATTCTACTCCGGCTTCAGTAATAATCAAATACACGATGGGTAATGGAGTAAGATTAGTGTACAATAACTGGGTATGAATCTTCTTTCTATTTATCTGTCCTTTCTGCTTTTTCTGGATACCTTTCTACATCTTCGTATTACGAGAATAGTTGGTGTGAGAATGAAGACTTACAACCCAGGGCTGAGTACGGGAATCTCTAGGGAGACCATGCGTTTGTCTACTGGCATAATAGAGTAGGAATCACCCACACCTCGTACTCAAATTCGACCTCACTATGGCCTAAACGGATTTCCGAATGGGTACTAGTTACTCGTTACACCAATTAGACTATATACAGTAAGCCTATCTGTTGGTGATGCTGACTGCCTCTATAGTGGGCAGCTCGTGCTATCATATGGGAGTATTTACACTGAAGTTGGTGTCACGATCGAGAATGAATTAGGCAAAGCGTTGTATAGTGAACAGGTCAATTGGTGTTTGATAAAAGGTTCCGTTCGCCTACCACAAAAAGGTTTCCAACGCGGTAGATAGAACCTTTCTTCTTTTTCTGTTACGATGTAATAATAGACGTGCGCTACTATATATAGTTAGGTATATAGGATCAGGCCCAGTGAGCGGATCAGTCTGATTACATAACGATCACTGAGCAGGTCAGGTCGCTCAGGGGCGTGCTCAATTCTACTCAGTGAGCAAAAGCGGCGAGGGGGTGAGCACTAGAACGGAAGGAGAACGCCAAGGGTTGCCGGACATTTTCTGGTATATATGTGCATTATTCGGGTTGATATCTTCTCATTCGTTCAAGATACCTGGCTCTAACTTTGCGCTACGCATTTTTTCCAATTTTTCCCCCGGTTGGACAACCTAATATGAACTGTCCAGTAATAGAAAGCTTTATGCGATGGAACTTTGTTAAAATGCAACAAGATTATCAATTCTTAAACGTGTATATGCACAATTCCTAGAATATAAGAAAAAAGTTTAGACTAGAGTGCTCTATGCCGTAGAACGCCTCCGCGCTTTCCACCCTGCCACAAGCCGCTTCAGTTCCTTCATCAAACTGACCAGCAGGGGGACACCAATAGGACCTAACAGAGGTAGATAGACGGCAACCTTGTGCTCATCTGGGAAGTAGACCTGGCCAACCATACTCTTCTCGAAGAAACTGCGTTCAGCTTCGCTCTCTGCGATCCGAGCACTGGCGAGAGCAGCACCGAAGCGGCCCCCACGGAGATGAGAGCAGGTGGAAGAAAGGTGGGAAAGTGTCGTGGAGACTGACGATGCAACGGTAGCAGGGATGGGGATAGATGGGAGAGATTCAGTAAGACGGGCCAGAGAGCCCATGGTGGATGAAGCGGAAAGGAGAAGTGTTGCAGCACGGACGCGAATTAAGGACTGCAGGCGCAGCGGGAGAGAGGCAGGGGTGGTAGGGGTGCCAAGGAGAGTCAAAAGTTGATGGGAAAAGGTCATGAATGCTGGGCGCAATGACTCCTGAGTGATATGGGCTGGATTGGTTTGCCCTCCCTTGCTCGCCTGTGCAAGAGGCGGATTGAGAAGGAAAACACCGCCCCATTGGGGGACAATCCAACTGGATGCACGGTTTTCCTTGACGATCATGGGTGATTGAGAGGGATCCGGGACATAAAGAATGAAGTTGAGAGTAGGGCCACTGCCAATGCTAGGGTTTAACGGCCACTCGGCGGCATTGATAAATGCGCTGAGATCTTCCTTCTTCAAGGTCCATGCGGACTCAGCCTCATCGTACACAGGTGCCGGAGTCATAGGCGAGAATCTCGCATAGAGCTGGACTTGGGTGTCGATAGTGAAGTTGCTGATAGGAGCGAATGCGTGAAGGAGAGGAGAGAGGTACTCTTGTACAGCGGCTTCGATATGCCACGAGGATGGAGCAGAACCAGGCGTAAATAAAGAGAATGATAGATGATACGTATCGGCGTACTTCATTGACCGTCGCAACCGTCGGCTGATGGTCTCTGAGTCACGACCGGCCGTGCCGCCAGAAAGAATGTGAGCAATGGTAGCTTTTTCTTCGCTGTACAACCGCTGCAGCTCTTCTGCGATGAAGACCGACAGTGGAGGATTTGAAGACGAAGGAACAGGCGCTTGACTCGGTGGATAGAAGATGTCGAGCTGAGTTGTGTCTGCGCGTAGCTCAGACCTAGGGGTAGCCAGACCCTCCTGGGGCACCACGCGAACGGTCAATGCAGTGTCTGGTCCATCGTCGGCTGTAATTCCAGCAGTAGCGTTATCATCACCACTTGGAGCAGTGGAAGCCTCGGTGTCGTTCGTCAGCTTGAGGCGAAGATGGTGGGCGGCGAATTCATTGAGATCGTCGAGGGCATGCTGAGTCGTGCGGACGAGATGCTGCGACTCAGGCAGTTGCATAGTCGGTGCTGCGACGTGAATTTCAAGCGGAAAAACCGGGCGACATGTCTATAACGATCGGGGTCAGCAATGAAGCTCTCGAGATGGCGCATTCAATCTCCTCCCCCCAGGGGGAAGACTTACCTTGCCATCTGCCCAATCAGCCATGTCCTGGATTGGCAAATGCGCCCGGTAAATGGAAGTAGTCTTCCACCATATTGGGAATCCTAGAAAGATTATGACGGCCCAAAAGGCAGCAATGACTCGGAATCGCGCCTGGATAGCTTCTGGGGTCTCGGGGGGCGGGACGCGCTGAGCGCGTGGTTTGGTGTCGGCTGTCAATGTGGCTGAGGCATGAGGAGACTCATGGTCTCCAGTTTTGCTCGTCATGATCGGGACATGCTTTGTGCCCTGGAGACCGCCAGAGCAAGGTGATTACTCGAAGTGCTGCCGTGGACCTGTCGTAGAGGCTAAAGGCGGAGAAGGGAGGAACAGGTGGCACCGCCGAGGACAAGCTACCCGTGGGGTATACAGCCAAGGACCTTGGTGACAAGAGGAATCAACGCCAAACATTGGAACTGCCGGATTATTTGAGAGTATTTGAATGATAACACTGGGCCAATGCGATTACTGTGGCCGTTACACTCTTAAGCCCACGACTGAGCACCTCTGGAAATTCTATCATGCGTACTACTGTCACGGTAAATGAAAAGGAGCCTTGACCTCCTAAGCCGGAACCACGACGTGTTATAGAGGGAAAGAGTATATGCGAAGCATCTCATTAAATCAAAGAGGGTATCTATTTGTCCAATATAACGCCAGCCCAATGTCGTCGCCAAAAAGTGTAGAAGCCTCTTGACCTCGTAGCGCGCCCCAAGTCCACTACCATCACAACATCCTCAGTATTCCTTTTCGAAGATCTTTTGAATGGGTTTGGCTGCCTGGACTCGCAGAGATAGGTTAGTAAAATGTATCATCTCCGAATAATAGTTGAGGTAAAGAAGGTCACCCACATCGATAAACTTCTCTAGATCCTGATCCAGGTTGGCCAAATCATCCTTGCGCTTCTTGTTCTCTGCGATCAACGCTTGCTTGCGCTTTAGGAGCTCTTGGCGCGCCTGCTCGAGTTTCTCTCGTTCGGCATGTTCGTGGTTGATGCGCGCGATCATGAGGTCGTTTTCACTGGATTCGCGATGCTCGGGGAACAATTCCAGAAACTGTTCGACCGAGATCAGAGGCAGTGAAAGGTATTTGTGACTGTCAGGCAGTAAACCTCTTAATTAGCCCAGTCCAACGGTGGCAACGCAACATACGTAGGTTCCCCAGATTCGACTCACTCATAGGACTCGCAGGCGGCAATCTCGCCCGTAAGGTGCTTCTGCTCGTAGTACAAGTTCTGGAGTTGAAGATGTAGTCGGTCAATCTCCTGTCGAGCCTCGGCAGTGGCGTGTTTCGTGTCGCGCACACGGAAGATGGCATCCCGATTTTGACCGCGCAGTTGAGCAAGTCGAGCAAAGAGGATCTTTTGCTGCTTCGACACGGCCAGGGACAGTTCTTTGAGACCGGCGGGATCGGTCGGGCTGGTGTCGGGATTCAACAGGGCTATCAGCTGCTGGCATTGAGCCAAAGTCTCTGCACTGGTGCCGAGCACGGGCAGCAGCGACTCGTCCGAGACGATTTCACTGATAGCCATGACTTCGGAGGAGCAGGTGGCGAAGGGAGAGGGGTGGGATGAACCTGACTTGAAAAGGACAAGATCGGTCGAAGGTTCGAATTGATGATTGAACGAGGGCCCAAGTGGAGACGGAAAGAGTTGCGGACGGATCAAATCGAGCAGCGCCTCCCGCCGTCCGGTCGCTCCATGTGAATGCTGAGCGGCCGATGGTTGGGGCAGGACTTTAGCCCCGTCTTTCTGACGTCCTTGGGAACTTCTTCAACTCTCCCAACCTCCACCCTCCACCTCCCACCTTCCTCTTTCCCTTCGTCTTCATCTTTCCGGTCATGTCGTGTACATAGTAGTCTGTTCTTCCTGGTTTCAAACAGACTCGATCTTCCCCCCGGTGTTTCTTATTCCTCCGTCACTCGTCGCTTGATCTTACAGTTCCCGATTCCTCAACACTCAACGCTCAACGCTCAACCCCCTTTTCAAAGGACTTGCCCAGCCCATCGTTCTTGAACTCAAAAATTACGGAATTTGTGGTTGTGGCCACGCTGCCCCTGGGAGGCTAAACCTCCGCTGTTAAACAATGCCCTGCACTGCAACGTCAGTGACTATGGAGTCCTATGCGGGCGGGGTCGCGTCTTCTACTGCAACTCCCAGCGAGGACACTGCGCTCTTGCGGGACCGGCGACGTCGACACTCTTATCATGTCCCGCGGAGGCTCTCCTGTGACTATCAGGATGCAGACACTGTCTTCATTCGAGTGAGCCTCACTCTGGAGGATTTTTCCGGCTATCAGATCCGCTCTAACAGTACCCTAGGTCGAACTATTTCTTGCCGAACTCGAGCGCCGGATGTCATGGATTGAGCAATACCGGAAATCTCACATGGACCAGATCGATTCCAGCCTGCGACGGGGATATGCCACCTTGGAAGCCGTCCGAGATCAATGCTCGCTCGCATCTGGTGAACTTATGGGCAGTGGCAAGAAACGGGCCAAGATCCTCGTGGAAACCCTGGAAGACGGTTACAACGAGGCCCTGGCAACCAAGGAGACTCTCGAACAAAAGGCACAAGCTGGACTGCGCCTAATGGAGTCTTTCCTTTCCGAGCTAGAGTCTCGGGCCCACGCCATCCACGACCGTGGCATTTACGGCACCTTGGATGACGGATGGAAGGCCATGGACTCTAAACTCGTGCACGCCCGAGAGGTGGTTGACGAGGGAATGGAGCGTGCTCGCCGAGCCCGCGATGCTCTCCGAGAAAACATCGACGAGGCTATCCGTCTCGCCCAAGAGAAGCGCTTGATTACCTATGCCGATCTGCCGGACCCCTGGAGGGTAAACCCGCACATTCTAAACGGTTACCGCTTCAGCACCTCCAAGGTGGAGTGTATCCACTCAGTCTTCTCATTCTCAAACGAGTTTGTCAACATTTGGTCGCACATCATTGGATTGATCCTGGTCCTTGCTATCGCTTTTTACTTCTACCCGCTCCACACCAATTTCCACGTGAGCACCAAGGCGGATATCATGATTGCTGCTGTGTTCTTCTTTGCCGCGTGCAAGTGTCTGGTCTGCAGCACCATCTGGCACACTATGAACAGCATTGCCTCTCAAAGTCTTATGGAGCGGTTCGCCTGTGTTGATTACACGGGAATTTCCTTGCTGGTGGCCGCGTCGATCGTGTCCACCGAGTATACTGCATTCTACTGCGAGCCTACCTCTCGCTGGACGTACATTCTACTTACCATGGGCCTTGGTATCGGTGGTATCATTCTCCCCTGGCACCCAACATTCAACCGTCACGATATGGCTTGGGCCCGCGTCGCTTTCTACGTCACCCTTGCTCTCACTGGATTCGCCCCTCTTGCACAGCTCTCCTACTCCCGTGGCTTCGAATGGTGCATTTATTTCTATGCCCCCGTTGTGAAGAGTATCCTGGTTTACTTTGTCGGGGCGTGCGTGTATGCCTCCAAGGTCCCGGAGCGTTGGAAGCCGGGTCTTTTTGACTACTTTGGCGGCAGCCACAACATCTGGCACTTGGCCGTGCTGGGCGGCATCCTCTTCCACTATTGCGCTATGCAAGACCTTTTCGCCAATGCTTTCCAGCGTGCTCAGGGCGAATGCCCTAACTTGACGTCGTGAAGTGGCTGCTCATCTCTATTACCTCGATGACAGCCTATGTCTGCTTCGCTTATGATAAACGAAGATGAGGTACAATGACCAAAATTCCTCTGCCTCACGCTTATTAGATTTGATCCAAAATTCTCGGTTTTTCCATGCGACTACGTTGTTCCCGACAGTTCGTAGACATCATTCTTCAGTCGACGATTCGCTGTTTTTATTTGCTGCATGAATGGAGTTCTTGTTTCTTGTTCATTCGTGTTCATAACCTTTTCTCAATCAGCTTGTTGCTGTTGAGGGCTTGTTGGTCCCGCTGGCCTTGAGCTGATACCGCTCATTTGCAGTTGGATCATGCATACATATTTGCCGCTCTCTTGTACCTAATTCCGTGTTGTATTGACTGCGCTGTCAAACTGTTGCTCGCTTGTCTGGATGTTTCAAATATCGCCTTGTTAGAGTTTACTAGAGCATGTACAGACAAATCAGATTCTAACTATTTGTTCATTTTCATTGCTGGCGTAGATACTCTTGATTGAATCGAGATTGGAATGCGTAATATATTCGTAGCTCTATGGACGAATCTATGCGAGTGTTTCTATCGTCTTCGTCGTGCACGCCGTCATGGCGTGATTCATAGGCACTATTAAGGCGAGCTGGTTCAGGCCATGATATCTCAGTGGAAACAGTATCGTAATGGTTCAACGTGGTCATGCACTGAGGACCTATCTATGAACATGACGCGGCAAGGGGACCTTCATCGGCTCTTTGATTCTGCCATTAAATGAGGGAAGCGCACTTGGAAATATCAATCCAACGCAGCAAGAGACCTAGTGCTACCTTGTGGCAGCAAGAACATCCTGTGGCAGTGGATGAATTTCTCAAGATTCTCAAGAGCGATCGCCGATATTGCCGACTTTCGGGAGAAGTGTGTATGCTATCGTAATTGAGATACCAGACGCCAGAGAAATATGTGAAGCGAGACTCGAAATCACTCGCCATTCTGGGTACCATTCTCGGTGCTTGAGTTCGTTGTAGCAGTATCATCGCGCTTCCGGAAGTTACCCTGCATCCAGCAGCGGTACATCTTCAATTTAGTCTGGCGGTTGACGATGAGTCTGCGGTCAACACCCAGGTGCTTGACCTCGAACGGAGCCGCGGGCTCGGCAGCCACAGATTCAGGTTCAGTCTTGAGATCAACCTGTACGCCCTTCTCTGGGGTCCAACGACTCCACACCTGTCGCAGCTCCTCCATATCAAAGAAGTAGACACGGGTACCGTCGCCACGGATATAGAAGTTCTCCGACATGTACCGGCCCTTCTTGAAGCGCACCTGCGCCAAATCTCCGCGGCCATAGTCGCGGAACAGAACACAACCACCGGGTTTCAAGACACGCCAGATATTGTTGAGTGCACGATTCCACTGATCCGGGTTGAGGGCAGAGAAAATGAAAATGAGAACAACCACGTCGACGGAGCCCTCGCCCAGACCGGGGGGCAGGGAATCCTCGCTCTCGGTGGGCTCGGCAGCGACATCCCACACGTCGGCCACCATGTATTCCGTATTGTACTCCTCGCTCTCGCGCATGACTTGAACCGCGTACTTGGAGAAATCACAAGCATGCACCTTCAGATGTTCGTTCTCATTGTACCTAATCAGGGGAAAGGCAGTGTTTCCCGCGCCGGCGCCAACCTCGAGAACGACTTTAGGACCAGCCTCTTTCTGGGTCACATCAGCCAGGACTGGAAACTCCTGGCGCAACCACTTGCGATCCTTGAAGAAATTGGCCGTATTGTTCTTGTAGAAATTATTCCACCACTTGGCGGGTTCATTGTTGAAGCGGGTCTGGTCGAACTCGGAAACAGGCGCCGCACGCTGCTTTTCGTATTGTGTCTCGGCAAAGGCCTTGAATTCGTCATCTGGCTCGACGTGATCCCAGGCGTTGAACTCGAAGACATCGTCACCCTGCTCGAGGTACCGCGATCCGAATTTGAAGGGGTCGGATCGCTTCATGTTGTTCGAGGCGTCGTGCGACCGGTGGGGGAGGCAGCTGCGCCGGTTGCGCGTTGCGAACGGCTGCGTGGACATCGTCGTCGTAGGGCATGGCGCTGGAATTTTGCGAAGAAAGAAATAGTAATGAAAGCCCAACTGCGCGGGGCCAAAATCAACTAAAAAAAAACTTAGAGATCGGCCCGTCAGCGGGGGTGCCTGATTATGTCAGATGTTATCGATAAGGCCAGGTGGCGGGGAGGCTTATCTCTTATCGATAAGGTTGTCGGTGTTCAATCAATCGCCGATCGGATGCACCATATAGTTAGTTATATCTTATGACCACGTACGCCCATGCTGCATCTATTCTTATCTCCAAGTATCTATGGCGCTATCAGAAAGTCACCAGACCACTAGTCGACCTACATCAAAACTGAGATATGGGTAGACGAAGAAGTCTTGCAAGGAAGTCTCGCGCCAGCACTACATACAATGTTCTTGTCTGACAGAATGACTACATGATATCTCCATACCGTAGTGTCTTCCTCAAACTAACCTTTTGGAGCTTACGACTCTAAATACCAATTGACAAATGATTCAATGCCAATTTCATTCTCCTTCCCAAAGATCCATGGATGCAGCGTGACGGACGTGACGCCTCAGGCGTGAGTGCTGACATCAGCGGCCAATCACGGGCGCCCAGAATCTGGATGCCTGCGCCCTGCGGCACCCGTCCGCAGTCCAGTCCCCTCCATCTGTTCTCTTTCCCCCATCTTCTTTCTTTCTCCATATTTCTGTCATTCAAAAACTCCTTTTCGGTGGACCTTTTGCTGTCCATTGTCGTTACTCCTGCCTAGGGGGTATATCGACTTGAGTGGGGAGAGCGTCCCCCACCTGTCCCTGGTGTCTAGCCCGCGCTGATCCGATCCTGATTGCGGCTCTAAGAAACCCGGGCTTCTGTACGGTGTTCGTCGGACCGGGATGCAATAGCTTCCTTGAACGAAGGCTTCACTTTCTTTGGATAATTTCCTTGGAGAGGTTGGACTTCCTTTGATTCATTCATTCTTCTTTCATTCAAGTTCACTCCCTGAACATATTACCAGCGAGAAACCCTTCCACTCTCACTCTACCTTACTACGATGTCCTTCCTTGCGGGACTCTGCGGGTGCTTCACCCGCGGCGATGTGTCCTCTGATCTCTCGTCGAAGCCAGAGATGCAAACCGCCAGTTCGCAAACGCACACTCGAAGTGGTGTTCAAACTGGCAGCTTCGTCCTCACTGATGAGGGCGGATTCATCCGCGCAGATGGTCCTCCAGGTGGGCGATTTGGGCACGGGCCCCCGCCGAGTGACTCGGACATTGGGGGCTATGCCAGCGTGGTTCCGCTTCCGCAATACACGCCACGCCCGATGAGCATTCACGAGAAGACTCTCGAAGCTCATCTGCGTGATCCTCCTATGTCTTCAGACTCCGATTCTATTTACCAGGACGAGAAACGTCGTCACATGTACGACGAAGAAGTGACATCGGACAGCTCGTCGACTCTCTCGTATCCGAGCAGCTATGGGAATACCTCGACTGCGACGAGGGAGACACCACCACCTCCGTATTCACCTCGTCAGTCAGTGATGCTGAGCCGGTCCCGCGCGACTTCTATTTCCTCTGCAATGGCTATTACCATCCACCCGCCCCCTATGGCTCGGCTGAATGGTGCTCGTACAGGTCCTCCTCCATCCGATGCTGATGATCGATCAATTCGGCGTCACCGGAGAGCTTCATGGGAGAGTCATTGACGGGGCTTCTCTCGACTTGGCTTTGCGACTCCTCATTTACCATCATTTTCGGTGGACCGACCACTCTGCCATGCCTGACCTTCAACATTGGCCCTGGTATCCACGACAATACTCGATCTGGAATCGAGTATCATAAGTTCTGTGAACTTGCTCCTGCTGCATTGCTTTTCATTACTGTTTTTGTTCTTGTGATGCATACGACGCGATGACCTGGCGACATACTTTTGGATTTTATTTGTTCTGCATTACAATGATCGGTTAGGATATCTTGGAATACTTAATAATCGCGGTGATTGGATATATGGACGCATCGGACATATCTGTTTATAGGTGAGACGTATCTGAGTCTTGCAGACCCTACGGACTACACCATAATAGAAAAATACATCAATTTCAAACTTGAATACCTGGCCATATCGCATAGGTCTCATTTCTTAGTGCATAGCAAATATTCTATCAGAAGTTCCCACAATCATAGGACATTGATGTATCTCATTTATTGATTTTGCTCTATTCACAAACCCAGCAGTACATCATCTGGCAGCTCTAGGGCAGTCCTCTCCTGCACGTGGCGGAGAAGATACCCACAAGACTGAGCCGGAAACTCCAACAGCTTCAGCACCAACGGATCGAGACTATCCTCCAGTAACATGCAAATAGCTGTACACTCCGAGCGCGCCCGATTCTCCATCCACCACTCATCAACATGACAAATTAGCGCCAACCACCAAGCAAGTATAACCAACGCAGGCGGATCTTTGGCTAGCAAACGATCATAGTACTCGGGCTCCAGCCGCCCCATCCACATATTATACGTCTGGGAGCTCTTCGGCGCCATTTCCAGGACAAGCAACCACGTCAGCATCCTCAGGGGCCAGAGGTACGGATTATTATCCACGGTGGATGTCTCATCAATGCCACATAGATCCGCGAAATCAGGATCTAAACCCACACGCCCAGGCCGTTTATCTTCAAAGTCGATGTCTGGAGTACGCGAGTCCATGAACGTAGCCCACCAAATACTTTCAGACATCCAGGGCATGGTGCGCTCGAGCAGGTAGCGCAGACCGGATTGGAGAAACAGCCAGTTTAGGGTTGTTGGATCTTTGGAGAAGACGAAGGAGGCGCGGGGGGTTGAATTCGTCTAACATGAAGGAATGAACTGTGAGGAGGATGCAGGTTGAGTAGAGTTTATCCATGTTTTCTTTTGTGATACCTGTAGAGACTTCGTTGGAGTAGTGGTGTATGGCTTGACACCAGTGGTGTGCTTCGGTGATTCGGTATTGGCTGTTGTCGGGGACGACGCTGCAAAGGTGGGTTGTTGCGATGCCGATTATGGCGTGCATGAGGAACGGTGTCTGAATTTGTTAGTGAGTATTAGACGTATGTTCGTGAATTAGGTTATGGATCACTTACCTCGAAAGCAAGTTGCGTCATCTTTATTCTCATCGAGTCCATACTTGAAGGACGCTTCTGAGAAGAGTAGCTCGCTACTGTGGTAAGGTGGAAATGCTGAAGAGCTTCCAAGAGACGACCCGTTGACTGCGAGCCCGGACGAGAATTAAGTCCTAGCCCAGAGGCAGCCGAGCTGATCTGAAGTACTTCAATGAGTTTCTCTGCTACAATGGCCAAAGACATTGATGAAGATAGTGACTCTCGGGACATCAGATCCGGACATGTTGTGAAGACCCGAGCAACCATATCTTCTCGGGGTTTGGAGCGGACGGGTTGAGGTGTGTAATCGCAGTCGAGGTTTTGTTTCTGACAGCGTTGACAATGTGGCTTTGTTTCGTCACACTATCGCTCATATTGTTAGTGGGACTTGTCAACCCGCATTAACACTTGATATTACTATGGGCTTTGTGGGAGAAAGGGACCTACTTTGACTCTTCGCTGCTTGCAATTGGCACATCCGCCACGAGACTTCCGATGGGACCGGCGAGAATGATAGGCCCGCTCTGCCGGCTCTTCCGTAGACCCATGCGGTAGGGCCGTCTTTGATTTGTAGTTTGGGATCCGGAAGACAATCCTTTGACCCTGCATAGGCGCAGGCGGGTCCTGGCGGCTCTTGGAGTGGCGCATACTTGGACTTGTTCAAGATGATTGTTGCACTTTCACAACTTAATGTAGTCCAAATTTGCCGAAATTTGGGAAATCTTTTCAAAAAAAATAGGTGATATGGGGGACTGCACTATTCACCGCAACTGATATAACGAACCCCACGCAAGGCAGACATATGGAGCTGGTACTCGTGTTGGAGTCACAGCCTCCGCCCGACTGAAAAGTACTGGTGACAGTGACGATACACAAGCCAATCAGAATGAAGGAGCTATGAACGGCCTCGGCCCAGTGACTTGATCGTTAAATTAGCGATTCATGTAGAGAAGAAACGAGAGGAGAGAATGATGTAGTCAATGAGTTCGTCTTCGTTGGGTTTCGGTCGCGCTAATCCTAAATAGGCAATTCTCGTATTCATCCTCATCGGGCCACTTGGCAGGCGTTGCGTTGCAGGTTGCTACCTTTAGTACCGTATAGCTGGGAGTGAATCTCTGGTTGCCTAACAGGCAGTAAATACGGTAGACACGAGGACGCATGAGCGAAGTCTGCCGTGTAGGTTGGTCATGACTTGTGATAGCAAGGTCGCCGATTGGCAATAGCTTTATAGTTCATCATTCATTGTTCCGAGCAATTGATAGCTCCTGATGCACATAATTCATACTTTATACATGGATTGATTTTGATATAGGACGCGAGGATCGACTGCAAGGTCTCAACAAAGCTCTAACCCATCTTTGCATTTGAGAAATCCATCTCTGTTGTAGACGTTAGCCACGGGCTGCGACAAGACCAAACACAATTTAAATCCTGAGGAGATCTGGAAAACTTCCAGTGTATTCACTTACCAGGGTGCTGCTCCTGGAACTTCTTCAGCAGCTCCATCTTCTTCTGCTCGTCACTGGTAGGGCCACCCATCTCCTTCTGTCGCTGATCGTACATCATCTTCTCGACCATGGCACGAGTCTCACCATCGAGATCGCTCAAGCTGGAGTTCTCGGGGGTGATCTTGGCCACGTCTATCTTGGGCGCCGACTTGACGACATGCGGCCACCATTCCACCTTGTTCACCTTGTCGAGATGGATGCTGACCTCCTTGCCCGGGGGCTTCGATGTTGTCTCGAGAGTCCAGGACGACTCATCGACGAGGATGGGATGGGGGAAATCGCCCTAGATCGAGGGAATATCAGTTAGTCTGGTGGGTTGAATAGCCCAAGCTCTCCTACCAAGCGGAGTGCGGTGGGGACGTGTTTCTGCAGCTCATACCTCGATGATGGGCTCCTGACCCTTAATTGCCACGCGGATCTTGGTCTTTGTAAGAGTCACTTCCATGTCACGGCCCTTGATGTTGCTGGGAATTGGCGCTGTGACGTCCACGTCGCGAATGGTTTGGGTCCATTGGTACGGAAGTTGGGCCTGCTCGGCGTCCTCACGGGCCTTGCGGTCTTTCTCTGCTTGGTCGCGCTCGGCCAATTCGGCAGGCGAGAGGTCTTTTTCAAGATCCGCAGAAGACATGGTGACTCGAGGAGTGGGGGGAGGAGAGGATGTGTAGATGTTTATCGCCAAGTGACGAAAGTGCGGCAAAAGGACCAAACCGCAGTGGGGAAGAACAGCCCACTTTCAGAGCTTCGGTCAAGCATCCTCATTGGCTCTTCGACGACCATCACAAACTACAAACTACAAACCACAGAATGTACTGCATGGGCTCACTCTAATTTGTTTTCAGAAAAATTGCTTAAGAATCACCCGAAAAACATGACAGCATTCAGATGTGTCCCCACTTCCAGTCTGGACGAGTCTATTGGGAAACTATACCCAGCCGCGCTATACGCGTCTTTTCCTTCTTGTCGACTCCTTGCATGGACAGACGTACACGTCAAGGGTCCTCCCGAAGGATCAGGATCAGGATCAGGATTAATGCAGTTATGACAGATCCCCGGAGCACTGGCCAGTCTATGTATCTCGATTCGCTTCATTGCGCTCCGATCAAAAGGGGCAACGGATTCCAACCAGTGTCGATGCGACTGATCGACAACGGTGCGGAATGCTGTCAAAATGTGGATTGGCTGTCACTGCAGGGAGGTGGTCGCCGGACGATCACAACGCGACACAGAGCAGACGCGTAGATCGCGAGTACGACTCGGATTTCCTCGGAGGTACAGATCGAACATGCTTAGCTACATACTACATCCTCCAGGGAGTCAGACTAGTGACATAGTTGGCCACTGGCGTCCTGGATATTCCAGCTTGTCTATGCTCGTGCAACTCACCAGATACACCGCTCAAGACAGCATTTCCATGGCCATGCCCTGGCGAGCTGAACAGCTGAACCGGTTGGGCCGATTCCGCGTGGGCGAATGAGAGATGCAAGTTGGCCAGTCGATCGTCTGCCCTTCGCAGAGCCGTTGACCTGCTTCGTTCTCGCATGCATGCCATGCCATGAGAGCCAGATGGGGATGACTAAAATATCGATCTGGATCATCCGAGCCGACTGGACCAACTCAATCAGACGGGTCCCTCGCTGTGGAATGTCCGTCGGACAGTGCCGACAGGGCCAGACGGGACGTGGAATGTTCAACGCTTTCCGTCCAAGAACGAACAATGAGCGGATCCACGAATGAACAACTAAACAATGAAAACGGTTGCAATTGCGATGAATCATGAACAATGATAATCATCAATATGGTATTCAAAGAAGAAAGAGTCTTCTCAGTAGATTCGAAACCAGGCCAGGACGAGAGGCAGATCAACCAGGGATGTGTCCCCTTCGGATATGCAAGTCCTCGCCAATCACCCACTTTCTAGAAGATCGCCCTTTGGTACATGCAGTGACAAGAACAAAAAAAAAAATGTTGGAAATAATTCATAACACCTCCCCAAGACGAAATCAGGCCTTGGTGGCGGTGCTGAAATGCCATTGCTCCCATGCCCCCTCTCTAAAGCGAACCGCTGCACAACTCCAGCAAAAATGAACAGGAAACCAAAAAGAAAAAAAGAAAAGGAAACAAATCGAGTGTCCCAGAAGTTCACGTCAGCTCTTGAAACTCATCGCAGGCTGAACCTCCACCTCCACCCATGCAAGTATAGTCAAGAAGGGAAACCAATCACAAGAACACATCCAAAAGAGGTAAGAGTAAAAAATTGATCAAGAGAAGAAATAGGAGGCAAAAAAAGAGGAAGAAACCCTAATAAACTCCGACCGAGTGCGTACACAAGAAATCAAGATTTAAGAATGGATCAACATCGACAAGTTAAGCCGCAAGCTCATGACCGTTCGCGCAAGGGCGCATTCGGGGGACCATCATCGACTGGAGCCCGGGCCGGGCTTTCGGGCTTGTTCTTCATCTGGATAACGTCAAATCAACGGTCAGCTTTGTGCTCCCTGCATATGATATATCAGACGTCAGTCAGGGACCGGGAGAACCGGATTTGCGCACCTCGAATCTTTTGGATTTGCTTGGCTGTGTCGTCCATGAGTTGAGCCCATCGGCGTTGATATTCTTCCACGCTGGTCATGGGCTTGGTGCCGTTGGCGCTCTGGGGGACGTCTTTGGTCTTGACGGAGTCCATGGCGATCAAGTGTATAGAGTATAGTTGTAGTAGATGAAAGGCGATGTCGCCAGGAGTATGAGGAAAATATGTCGGAGATACACAGATCGTCCAATATATGCGTATTCACAAGAAGATCAAAACGACAAGAAACAGCCGAAGAGAGAATGAGACCGTTGGCGCAAGTCCAAAAGGATGAAGATATCGTCACCGAAATGCCGATTCTCTCAAGATCACGACCCAAGGCCCCTTTATATACGTCTGGAATCCTCGACCAGTACCGAGAAGAATATTCTATATTCCATAAAAATCTAATTTAAAATTAAGAAAGTGAATCCACCATGCAAGATGTGAAAGATGCCTAAAATAAAAGAATATAAAATTCTGGAATTTCTTTTTTTTTTTTACTGGAAAATGTTTGCTTCAAACAAGACACACCCAACAACCAAAACCGGTCACGAGCCTGAACCAGTGACTTCCCCCAAAACCTCCAACTCCAACTCCAAATCCTTTGGCAACTCTCCAATCATCTACTTCAGCTGCCCTGGAACTCTCATCAGTACCATATCCACCAATCACTTGCGAGGCCATCGCGTCTGCAGCTGAACCTGGGTCTGCTTCACCGACTCTCCTCTTTCCCACGTCCCCCCTGGATTCATTATTGGAGTCACTCCAAGTCCGCTAACCGATCAGGGCCCATGGTCCGCCTTAACCAACCAACCCTAACAAGACCCGGGTAATCCCCGGCGTATGTGGGTATTGAGATCATCCAGACTATCCCATTGGATCTACCCTGGAGCACTAGTCAAGTGGACTTACAAGTTACAGTAGTGTCAACAGGTGAGAACGATGATACTCGTCGCACCAGGGTTGAAGCTGGGACCTTGAAATTGGCGCCAGTTTGTTCTCCACCAAGTTCCAGCATCGCGTCTTCGTCTTGCTCTGCCCCCCGCTCCTCCCCACTTTCCCAACCCAATCCACATTGACAACTCCACCTCCCTCTTTCCCCTGGGCCTTCGGCTGAAAAAGGAAAAAGAAAAGCAAAAAAGAAACTTTGCTTCGAAGAGACAGCACTGACAGTGATGTCACCGCGACAGACTAGTGACCCCTTCTCCGGCTCTCCCTGATCCTGATCGCACTCCACCTGGCACCCACTGGTCCCAGTCCCCCCCCCCCCCCTCCCGTCCCTTCTCTTTGGGTTCCCCTTGGGAGGGCCCTTCACTGGCTAATGGGATGTCTTCCAGGCAGACCCCCCAAAGAAACGACCCGTACCAATCGGGGGGTTCAATGTCTGCATCCGCGCCAGCCGATCTGATGTCTGATTCGGGTACGGAGGACAGACTACCGTACCGTGCCCCTTTCGCTGCCCCCTGACAGAGAGGTGGGTTGGTCGGGGGTGGTGGTTGAGGTACCTACAGCGTGAAGGGATGGGGCGAAGTGGACGGATTAAACAGGGAACGAGACATGTCGTGTTGTACACTGTACACTGTACCTGTATACCACCCCTGTACATCGGATCAGGCCCGACAGGCTCCAGCTGGACATGTATGGAGTACAAAAAAACATCCCACTAAGCAACCCAAGCCCCAGGGAGTCGGGTTGGGTTGATCTCAAGGATCGGCGCGCCCGATCCACCCGATCTCGACGCTCGGCCCATGACAGAAAACCACCGAGGCGAAGGAGGCACTAAGAAAGGAGCGCTTCTACCTCCTCTGCACCGGGGCCTCCTCCCCCTGCCTGACATACATCCCGTTTTATTGGCCACGATCCCGCTGACTTCACCGTTCACCGCCGATAGGACATGTCCTGTTGCAGAGCCATCGCGGGAGGTTGCATCTTGCCATCCCACGTGGTGCACGGCCGCATGATGACCGTTGCCCTGGTGGTTGTGTTGTGTTTTGAGTGTCCTTGACCGCATCGTCGCGCGTCCAAGTACGTGGAGACACGTACTGGGTCGAGGTTGGTTTTGCAAGGTGATAAGGTCGCTATGTCCTTTCACCCCCTCTCCATGGCTATCAGATGACCGTCCCCTCGGCCGATGGACCAGTGGTTACTGGTGCTGCTGGCTGATGCTGACCCTGATGCTGCGGTGCTGTGCTGTGACAGCAGAGTGATGCTGATGGATGCCAGGTTGAATATGACGATGTCGGCACTTTGGGTGCATTGCCTCTGCGGAGGAGGTTCGTTACTGGCCCAGGGCGCGATACTTGCGTCGGAGATTCAGCGCGACATTCGGAGGAATTAAGGTTCTACTTGGATGTGGAATGACGGGTTACCGCTGACTCCTGGTCCAGTAAATGGTGCAGGCGTTGAGGTGGGCTGTAGACAGCGGGCTTAACGGTGTAGTTGTCATCAACTGGGTACATCCTCTGGAGACTTTGTAGTTTTCGTATACCCGCTTTGGATGGTCGATGTTGCGACTATATCCGTCGGCATGGACGGAATATGCCTTCATTATACTTAAAGATCATTCAAAGATGGACACCTCATAGTGGAAAGTCCTTCGCCTATGAATTTCTTCGGCAGTCATGCTTCTCTATCTCATGAGACTCGGCTTGGATCTACACGGGGGCTTAGTGTAATATTGAATTGTAGAACTTGAGATCCGGTGCTAAAGTATTGTCTATTACCCTAGTCGAGATAGGCATAGTATTCCATCTTGATCAGAACCAAAAGACTAGAAGCGTAGACAAGTCGCGGAATTACCTGTTTTGTATAACGAATCAACCAATAATAATCAGAGCATGGTGCTCCACATGGCTAGTCTACTTTGCAATGTCAGATCTGTAGTCTGAATCAAAAGCGACCAGAAACCCGGCGAGCCGGATAGACATCCACTTTTCCATTGTAGAAGGGCCATTCTAAATGTGTTTTGACCCGTCATCCTCAATGGCTCATGTATGGTGTTGGATCATTGTTTGTTCCATCATGAATGATTAAGTAGAACCACACTGTAAGCCACACGGGCCCAGCACTGTAGAGAAGCAAAGCCATGCCTGCCTAATCTCACCTTTTCCTTGTGAGTCATAAATTGCACTTGCTACATTCCAATGAAAAGAGATGGACAGTTCAACAAGATGATAGTAATTACAAGGGAAAAAAAAGCGAAATCCGAAGACCCGTAGGAGTAAGGCAACTACTACATCTGTTTTCTCCCTTGCTCTCTATGCATTACTCCGTGGATATTTACTCTACGAAATCACAACCCATCATCAACCTTAGCTATATCCCAACCACCATCCAAAGCCCCACAATCTCCACTCCTATATACAGTAGTCCCTTCCACCCCCACACCGTCACCCGACAGAACAGACTCATCCGGCGACCCATATCTCTCCCATACTACTGGTAACCCCTACCATACTGCAGTACTTTACTTACCCGATAGCCGGCCCACCTCCATATCCACAGAAAAAGTCCTGTCTAGCGATCGGCGTAGGTACTTTAGCACCAATTATGAGCACAAAATGCATCTCGACGGGGAGGCGGGCCAAAAGCCAGCGCAAAGATACTGACGTGGCAAAGATACCTTGCTGAATCGGGCTAAAAGGGGTACTTTGGACACATCAACTTGGCGCTAGTGTGGACTAAGGAATCTCCGAGGAAGAGAAGAAGATACATACATACACACGCTTAATTAGTGGGACTAGAGTGCGGTCGATGATCCGATCGCTATGCCCGATTTCGCTTTCGGGGGCCGGAGATGGCAAAAAAGTTCCTATGTGTATAATACATACTATGTAGGATGTCCTGGTTTGTGTCCTCTGCTTTGGGAGATACTTCCGGAGGCTATGACTACAGTGGCTAACGTAGATTGGCATGATTGACAGGGTGCATGTATCGATGCTGCCACGTCAGTTTGAAAGAGGAAATTCGTTACCTCCGTGATGTTTAGAGTATCACGAGGTGGCTATCAAGTTGCGAACTGCTCCTCGCGGAGTATCGGCGGTCTGGTATGTGGGTTTGTCATATCGTGGACAAATTAGATCGGCGTGTAATAGGGGGTTTTTGATAGTGATTTTTTGATCCACCACGTCACAGCAGTCAGTTGACTGTTGATATTGGTCAGCTTCAGACAGGCAGGACCTTATGCTCCGTACATACCACCACCGGAGAAGACATGGAAGGGGGCTGATCAGTGATCAGGCAGCGGTGGATATCGAACTAGACATGTTGGCCAATCGGACCGACGTTATTTTATGTGTCCTTTTGTTTTTCTCCACAACCCGGACTTCCGCCAACGCTATGAGCCATAGGTACCTTTGTTTTCCCGAAACCGACGGAGAAATGCGACATTCCCTGGTTTCCAGAAGAAGACACACGGTAGAGCTGCTATCTCGTGGGAAATGAATTCGCTCAAAAAGAATAAGATTGCTTGCTAAAATAGATAGGGGATATAAGGAATACCGAAGATGCTGCACAGCCCATCATGATCGTAAAAATAAGTCCAGCCGATAGATGCCATGCCATGTCATGCCAGGCCATATTCTTCACCTGATCACACGCTGGATCAACCAGTCTGGCAACCGAGGAAACTAATAAAAAAAATAAGAACTAAAGTAATGTAGATAATGATGAGTACCAGCTCGGTGCCTGCATCCATTGGCCAGCCGTGTCGTCAGACCGGTTTGTGTTCCTGCAAACCCTGGCGCCGAAGAAGCAAAACCGGGCACAGGACCCTCGTCCGCTCTCTGCAACTTTGGTCTGATTTGAAAGATTGTTGAAAAGGGAGGGGTAGAACAAAGGATGGGAAAGAATCAAGGTGACAAAGGGTAGTGCCGTATATGCCGTTAGCGCCGCCCCCCATGCCAGAAAACGCCTAGGTGAAGTAGCATGTATTGTGCGCCCCCTGCCATGCATAGATCGCTTCGGAAAACAGATCCCGTGCAGAAACATTCGTGGATGATGTGATGTGATGGAATAAATGTCGGGAAATATGTTTCTCCCTGCTGACGCCGTGGTATGAGAAAAAGATCGCTAATGGGAAAACAACCGGAGAAGCCCGAGAGAGAACAATTAGAGGGTGTTGTAGATGCGGTGAATGAAGAAAGCATTGAACGAAGCTTATTCCGACTCGTCAGGTGCCCCGGTAAAGCTGTCCCCGAAGAACATAGTGCTCGAGCCAACGTCCGTGGTCGGGCCTGAAGAGAGCATTTGCGAGTCACCGGGTTGAGGTGCCTCAGACTCGGTGTCATCCATGAGACAGCTGGTGATGATGGCACCTCCAGAATCAAGCTCAACGAGGTCAAAGAACTGGCCAGCAAACTCGGCGACTTCGTTGGCAACCTTGATCTCCAAGATACCCTCGAGCACCTGCATGTCCTTTTTCCACTTCCGCTCCCTCCGCGCCTTCTCTTCTTCTCGACGGCGGCAGGTCCCGTCGCGAGCACGGACTTTCATGCAGTTGGGACACAGGTAATTTTCCTCGCAGTAGGTGCACTTGCAAGGTGGATGTGCTTGTACGCAGTCCTGGCAGACATACACGGCGCAGGCCTTGCATTCCCGGAGGTAGCTTGGGCACCGTTGGCGCTGATCCCCAACAGCACGATATTGAGGGCAGAAAAAGGATTGGCATCCTTGCCACCGTGGCGCTTCGAAGGGAGACTCGGATGATACGGACGTTGGCGAGGACGATCCAGAATCGTTGGACGGTGGGGCAGAAAAGGAGCGAGTAGCATTGCGTGAGAACAACGGATGAGTTGATCCTTCGCCATTAACTGTATCGAACTCGGGGTCATCTGCGACACCATCGCCCTGCGGATCGTCAATAAAGCTGCTGTTGGTGGAGTCAATGATTCGATGCGTCCGGAATGGGAGGATATAGCCGGGGAGTTGTTGGCTCATGGACGCATCAGGTGATAACTGTGCCGCAGATCGGGTTTGAATAGTCATTTTCTCGAATGCGAGGTCCCTGTAGCCGCAGATGCGCAGGCGAAGCCCGCGGAGGTCGTGTTCAATGCAGAGAGGCTTGGAGCAGCTCTTGCAATGGACTTTCCACTGTGGCGAGTCATAGCACTCCTGGCAGAGATTGCGCGGGCACGGTGATACCTGCCGGTTGGGAGGCCCAAGTAACCATTTCATCATCGCGAGGTGCCCCGTTTCCAGCGAGTAATCCGGTTTGCTGGGATCGCCATAAGCGTACTTGGGGAAGGTCTTGCTCCACTCGCTGACGGTATACTCGAGGTCTTCCCAGCCTTGACCACGGGGCAAAGGGACCGCACGTACTTGATCAACATCTCGACTAGGAGTGCCGATGCTGATACCGCCTCCTCCAGAGAAGATGGGCTCCGTGCAGCACCAGTGGAACTTGAGAGCAGGATGTGACGTTGGCGCACCCCCATGGAATGCAGTGTTATCCATTGGGTTTGAGACCGGGTCTTGCATCGAGCTGGGTGAGAGGGTCGCCCCGGGAGCCCACCACAGGGAATTTGAGCTATTCGAGTCATTGTTGTTGTTGCTTCCAGAGTTGGAAGCTGATGTGCCTCGGTGAAGGTAAGGGCGCTCATAGGCACAGCTTGCACATAGGGTTCTCCGACACCCTACACAATGCATCAAGATGCTGCACTGCTCGCACCGTTCTGAGATATCGTCGAAACAGTTGTCGCATTTCACGTTGTGAACGAATTGTGTATGACTCTGGCGCAAATGCGCCGGTGTCATTTTTCCTTCCCCGACATCTGGCCCTTCTCCAGTCCCTAGCGCTTCACCATGGCATCCCGTGTCGCAGTTCTCCCACAGCTTCCCATCGGGCACACGCGGTCGCTCCGACTTAGAGTCCACAGGACCAATCCAATTCTTGCATCGCCATAGCCGATCAAACACCACCCACACCTCTGGAGAACCTTGGGGAACTCGCATCGAGACATACCCACGTCGACGGAAACATCTCCCAGCTGGGGTTGTGCACCAGGCAGTGTCGGTCCATATCCCTAGCTTGTGGCAAAGATTCACTAAATCATGAGTGGGCTCCGAATCAGAATCCTTCCGCAGTAGCGAAGCAGAGAGGTAGGGCCGACGACGGTGGTGACGGCATCGGTACACGTAAAGACTCTTCAGCGCAAGCCGCTGGGTAGCGGGAGAGCTGCCGATATTCCTCTCCATATCCACATCGTATTGCAATCCAAACATGGTCAGATATGGGATGATGTGGTACTTGAGAGATACATTCTTGCAGCCCCGAACCGACAGGTGCTCCAGTGTCTGACGGCGCGCATGCAACACGGTTGAGATCAGAATCTGACCCGAGACGGCCGTATTGTCCAGTTCCAAGCTCTTGAGGCATCCGCTGAACGGGATCACCACGTTCATCAGTAGCTGATCTAAAGCATATGGTCGTGATTGCCGTTGCGTTTCCGGGTCCGACATGCCCGGGATGATTATCCGAGTTGATGGCAGGGTGCCCGACGGGCAGAGCAGTCGAAACGAAAGGGATTTCCATGCGGTCGGATACGACTGGAGAAATGTGCGAAGGTATTGGGAGGTGTGGTAGAGCGCGAGGATGGTGTCGGTCGGGACTTGAAGGAGTAGGGACTCGAGGATGGGAGCATTGGTGGTGATCACGCGTTCGAAGAGAGATAGGATGCGCTGTGCTGGGACGTCGCTAATTTGCAGGGCATTCTCGACGAGCTGCGGCAGCGGCAGCTCAGAGCCCGCGAGTGCCTGCGCCATGGTGGTTGTATTGTGGCGATTTGACGCCTAGCCCGCGTGAGTAGATACCGATACCGATCTTGATCTCCCTCGCTCAACTCAACTCAGTTCAAATTAGGTGGAGAGATGGCACGCGAAATCGCGAACAGGTTGAGTCAAGACGCAGCTCATGATAAGGTGTGCTGGAGTTGGGGCAATGGGCAATCACATCTCCAGACAAGCCACCATGCAAGGCCGTCAAGCGTTGAACTGGTTCGGCAATCGATAAGACGTGGATCGCAAGGGCTGGGCGGAGCGGCTATCCAAAGGGAAGGGGAGGGGGGGGAGCGAGGGAGGATGAGGGAGAAGGTTTACGAAGAGAGGGGAATAGAGATACGAAGGACGACAGGAGGACGAAGAGAGAGGAGAAAATTGAGAGGTCTCACGGGATTATGCACCGGCCTCAAAAAAAGGAAGAATCCAAAGACAGTCCAGTTCGGATGCGCCCGTTAGAGACGAAAGCGTCATGTGATACTACGCTGTCGTCTTCATGTAGGGGGTCCCCCGGGAGATAGTGTCAAAAAATTCACAGTTAAATAATATGAATAGATTGAATGACCCAGCTTCCAGAATGATTGATCGACAACATTATTTGCATTCTATCGCTTGTATCTACAAATAGGCTGTGATGGTCTCCCATGCGGCGCATGTCTTCTATAGGGCGCTCGGTCGCCGCCTCTCAGGGCCCAAAGCGGCGCTAATGTTTCTCGCTCGATTCGCCCAGGGTGTAGCCCCTGGCAATACCCTTGCGCCCTTCCTTGACAAGTGTGCTGTCCGATGGATCCTCTTCTTCATCGTACCGAATATCAAAGTCACTCCCCAACCCCTTCCATGTCCGTTGGGACTGTAAGAACTCGGCCCCTGGCGAAACGGCACCGCCGATCATCGCTAAGTCGCCCTTAGCTCGTCGGGCCAGAGCCCTAGCAGCGGATGGTCCAGCCGCGGTCGACCCGTCGATCTGGGAAGAAGCGCCGGGTGCGGGATCTCGCATCGGACGAGAATGCGAGACGTATCGTCCTGTGCGCAAGTCGAACTCGGGCGGTGCACTTTCGGGTTCCGACATGTCCTCGTCCTCGTCGTCGTTGGTTGCCCCATTTGAGGACGCCTGCTCGTCTCCTTTGGATTCCTCCTCGGCAGGCTTGTCGAGGACAGCCTGGAAGTTGCTATGCCACGATCCGGTCCAAACTCGCTCGGCATCGCTCTTCAGAGCCAGTTCCAACTCGAATGGCGTGATGACGGGCTTCCAGAAGTCCCTGCTGTCCACCAGCGAGCTCTCCCAGCAACCAATAACCACCCAACCCCCGATCTCGCTAAAGTTGGCGACCTTGGCGGCATTGAGCTTGCCCACGACAAACATGTAGCTTTTCTTGCCTGCAGCGGCAATCTGCTCCTTCACATGTTCCACAATATGCAGATAGTTCTTGACACTGAGCGTGTTGATCAGAATGCCCCAGACTGGCACCGTGTTTAATGAAGTCAAAATCGCATAGCGACGGCGCAATGCGGCCGAAGTGGAAGCCGGGAGTGGCTTGATATTGGTGTTGCTTGGGTTACTCGTGGGGTAAATATGAATGGCGGCAACGCGCGAAGCAAGGGTCAGGAGCAGGGCAGTAGGCGGGTCAGAGATATGGAATAGCTGCCAGTCTGCCAGTGTCTCTGGAGACTCTCGAACATTCTCAGGCACAGTGCGATTGGGAATAGGCGAGGAAGGCTCGTGAGCCACCTCGGTAGCAAACAAATTGCTGTAGCCATCCTGCACCAAGCGAGCGTAGAGGTCAGGGACATGGCCAGAGAACGTCACGTCAGCAGCAATGATAACCTTAGTCGTGAGATCCGGATAGGTTGCCTTGAACGCCTGCACGACGGGCTCTAGAGGCAAGGTCTTGTGTGTAAAGACATAGATCACGGGAAGCCTGGCACTCGGCGACAGACAGGATCGGCCATAATGCACCACGACGTTTGCGTCTACATGCTCCGCGGCCACCTCGTCCACACAGCAGGTACCGTACGAAGTATCTGCCAAAATGTAGAGTCGAGGAGACCATTTCTCTGTCTCCTCAGCCACAGACAGCCGAGACACTGACTGGGTTATGCTTCCTTCCGCATCCGCGGCGCCACCATTTGTCTGGCTGGTCGCCTGAGTCCCATTCGCGCTGGCAACGTCCTCGGTGTTGAGGCCACGGCTGAGTAGTTGGAAAACCCGTGGCGCATCTGGGAGCATATCATCCGGGAACTGAAGGGCGATGCGTTTGTACCGCGCCTGGCGGATCTCTTTCAGTGTGCGCTCGATGTCGTAGGTGATGGACAATTCATCGTCGGAGAGCGGCTGCTTCGCATCGTTGGTGACGACGGGCTCGGTGGCCTCGAGAATCCGATCGTCGGGGGTCGACAGCACGGGGGCTGCCTCCATTTCGGAACCCATTTAGGGAGTATATACTGGTAGGTGGGTGATGGAGTGACAGACAGGCGATATGGTGGAGGTTTCTAAAATTTTTGGAGAAAAAATAAATTCCCCCACCTTCCCCCGCCGATAACAAAAATTGCGGATCAGCCCATTGGCAGAGGCCCAACCCTAAGACCGTCATCGTTGAACGTGATAATATAGAACGACTGTGAAACAGAAGACGGGGGTTTGCCTCTAATTTGAAAGTTCTTATATATTTGAAGTATATTTTGTAAGTAAATGTTCTGCTGGATATGCATATCTACAAATCCGCCTTGGCCGGCTCTCCCGCCCACACACGACGGATCAGCTCGCGAATAGGAGCCCGCTCAATCGCACGAGGGTTCCAGTAAGGATTGGAGACCGCAATATCAGCAGCCTTGTCAATATCCTCTTCCCTCATACCATAGTCCTTGAGACCACGCTTGACCTTCAGCTTCTCAAGCAGGATGTTCAGACCGTGGATAGCATCGCCATTGCTATCCGGCAAAGCGTCTGCTAATTGCTTCATAGCCTCGGGAATGTTCGGGGCATTGTATGAAATGGCATGGGGCAGGACTGCAGTGTGAGTTTCCGCGTGAGGCAGGTTGAAGCTGCCACCGAGAGTGTGACAGAGCTTGTGGTGGATGGACATGCCCACGCTGCCTAGGCAAGTACCGCACAGCCAGGCGCCGTAGAGGGCCTTGGACCGGGCTGATTGAGAAGAAGGGTTCTCAACAATTTCGGGGAGGGCGGATGCCAGGGCTCTGGTACCTTCGATGGCCATCATGTTAATGATAGGGTTCGTGTTGCGGGCGTAGAGAGCCTCGACTGTGTAGATTTAAGACAATATTAGCTTAGGTGTGCTTCAGAATAAATCTGCAAGGCTTGTATAGTCACTGACCAGCATGAGCAATTGCATTGACACCACTAGTAGCACTCATAGCTGCCGGCAGGGTCATCGTCAAGTCCACATCGTAAATCACCGTGCCAGGCAGGATCTTGGGATCAGAACGAGTCTTCTTCAAGCCATCGGCTGTCTCGCCCAGAATGGGAGTCATCTCACTACCCGCATACGTCGTCGGGATGCAAATATGCGGCAGGCCAGTGCGAATGCTAATCGCCTTGCCGAGTCCAATCGTGCTTCCACCTCCAATCGAGATGACCGAGTCGGCGCCCTGCACCTTGACGTATTCCAGTGCCTTGTCGGTGATATGAGTCGGTGTGTGCATAGTAGCCTCGCTGAAGATGCCGGCCACTTGGCCCTTCAATACATCCTTGACAGTCTCGGCCTGGCCGACTTGCTGCGGTGTTGAGAGGACCAATGGTGCCTTGACCTGCAACCGCGCGATTTCATCAGGAAGCTTCTGCAGGGTGCCGCTGCCAAAGACAACGCGGCCGGGGTTGGGATTGTACTCGAAGGCGTCCATGGCGTTGCTTTTGGGTATAAGTAATCTCTTGTCCCCCGATAGAGAGCGGATCAATGCAGTCTTATAATTGAACTCCCCCCACACCCCACCGTGATCCGAAGAAGGTCATGGGCTACAGCCGTGGGGCCGTGGGGTCAACCGTCGGCAGTTCAATTGAGCTTGGTTCCGATGTACAATTTCTCCAATAGCTCAAGAACAACGGTTGTGGATGATTGACTACATTGTAGAGTTGATTGAATGCACTATGTGATCTCGATAATGTCTTTCAACCCGCCTAGATTCAACACTTGTCTCAATGCCTCTTCAAAGTCCTTGTCGCGTTGTATCTCGACTCGAGCATCGCGGAAATCCCCCGGGATTAGTTCAGCATGAATAAGCGTTCCGTAGAGGTTAATTTGGGTTAGTTCGTTCCTCTCGGATATAGTTCGTCCTTTTGCTGGACCCTCTCGGATGTGAACATACCCTTAGGACTCAACAGACTTCGATGTATGTATGCCCTTCCAGGTACTTTCTAACACATTGTGGAATAATGTCTTTGGTTCACCGATAATGGAGTTTTAACAATAACTTGATTATTCAGTGCTATCCTTCACAGATAGTGGGTATCAGATAATGCGGCTATGAATGTAGGCCTTTCTCGTTTGATTTTTTTTTCAGTCCATGTCAAAAGCCAGGACATCAGGTCCAGTACCACGGCCCGACTTGCCCTTCTTGCGCTTCTTGCGTTCGTTGGCATTCGCATTGCGTCGCTCCTCTGCATCGCTGTCCTCAGAGGCATCATCACTGTCGTCGCTGTCACCCATCATATGCTTCTCCCCAGCCAGGATATCTCCCGAACCATTCACAGTTTCATGCCAGACCTTGACGATCTGACCACCACCCGAGACCATGCGGCCCTCGACGTCGAAGCCAAGGCCAACCACACCCTCGGTCTCGTCGTGGACAACCTCGGACGACACCTTGTTGGGACCGATGCGAATGAATTTGATCAATCCATTGCCGAGACCGGTCGCCAACATCTTGCCCCGGCCCAACTCATCTGGCACCGTGACCAGAGTCTCAATTGTTTCTGCACCACCGGTGCCGCCGTGGACGTAGATCCGCTCGTCTTGATCATCCCACACGCCTTTCTCCCAGAGCGTAAGAACGCCATTAGATCCACCCACAGCTACCTTTTCACCGCGGCTAGTGCCGCTGTTGGCGAGTCCGCCGATGAAGGCAGAACTGACCAATTCCTCCTCTTGATCTTCGCTGCGGACTAGGACGCCCCGGCGCAGATCGGTCACTGCTAGAGTAGTGCCGCCGGTCGTGACCCATTGTTTGCTGAAGCCGGAGGTGCTGGTGTCGGAGGGAGGAAGAGGAGTAAGAGAGGAGATGTAGTCATCGTGGGGGTGGTGCGACTGCTCAGGTCGCGCAGACACCTTAGAGTAAGGAATACGGAGATCGTAGAGATGCAAAGCGCTTGAGTCGGTCGCAAGCAAAAGGGTCTGAGGGGAGAGGGCGTGAATGACGGTGGGCGCATCAATTGAGCTGCGAGGCAGAAGAGGGGAAATCGTTAGCCAGCGAAATTCTAGTCAATGAATCGAGTTGATATACAAGGAAAGACATACCCATTCTTTTCGAGAGGGATTGCAATCTTGTTCTCCACCTGTCCACTCTCTGACTTGGCCATCTTCACCAGACCGTCCGTTCCAGCGGAGTACAGCATCTCTCCGTCAACGCTAAACACCAAGCAGCGACAGCTGCCCTTGTGCCGCCGTGTCCTCCACATGGTGTCAATGTGGCCCTTGCCATTGCGTGAGGACGAAGTCGAGGCATCATCGTCACTGTCGCTCTCTTCTGACGGCAAACGGAACGTTTGAACATGGCCTGCAGCCAGACCGACGGAAACAACAGGTTCCTTGGGGTGGATAGCCTGCGTAAACAGGTCCGAGGACAGTGGAAGCGTACAGACTGTGTCAAACATGGTGACGCAGAATTGGAGCCAAGCAACTTGCTGCTTTGGTACGGCGGAGGCAATTGACAATTAGCTTGTGGTTTCTTTCCTGCGACTCTCTTCGAGCGGAGTCGGGGAGCTTTGGGAGCTGCCCGTTTTTTTTCACGGGCCGGGAATCTTCCGCCTTTACCGCCTTTGGGCTGGTTACTTTTCAAGTGGGGACAGTTGGTGAATGACGTCACAGATTTAAGGTACAGCTCCTATTGTTCTTCTTTCTTGAATAGTGTTTCTCGTCTCTACAGGGAGTAACCTACAATGAGTTAGAAACGTAGAAATGCTTGGATTCAATAATGCACACAAAATAAAAGTCACGAATGGAACTGAGAGCGTAGCTCTCTCTAAAGAAATGAAGGGAAAAGAAATATACAAAGACAGTCCCCAGCGCGCTGTTCAACAGCTTTTAACGTCACCCCTTTGGTTCCAATCCTGTACTCTCAGTATCTTTCAAAGTCCTGCAAGATACCATATGGGAAGAATTAAGACAGAACAAACGGACACCACTATTCATTCGGCTCAACATTTAAGCAGAGTAGGTAGAGCCAATGGGGCCAACCTTGATGTTGGAGAAGATAACCTTGGCAGAGGCAGACTCCGACTCGACGGTGGAAGGCTGGCCAGAGTCAGTGCTGCAAGTACCACGGGCAACACCAGGGTCAGTAGCAGTGGCATTGGTAGGGTAGGTGCTGTCGAGCCAGAGCATATCGGAGTAGTGGTCGTCCCACAAGCTCATCACCAGAACCATGCCCTGTGCCAGAGCATCACCCATACCGGAGAGACCACCGTGCTTGGAGAAGATGTCCTGGTCACCAAAGGCAGTCTTCTGGGCAGTGCAGAAGTCCGAGGTGATCGAGTTGCCGGTAACACCACTAACATCCGAGGCCGAGTTGGCAATCACATTGCCATTCTGCACGTAGATACGCTTAATCTCCTGGAGGGTACCGGTAGCAGTGCCGTCACTGGTGATGAACTGAGTGACAACAGTCATCTTGGAGCTGCTGTCGACGGTCTTGCCGGGTCCGAAGAAGGACTCGTTGCCCATGCGGTAAGGGTTGAAGTCGCAACCGTCGGGGTCGCAGGTGCCGCCGTAGCGGTCAGAGGAGTACGTGCCACCGCACCCGTCAGTCTCGCACATAGTCTGGCCTGCGGTATCACAAGGGTGGGGGGTCAGAGCAGTGGAGATACTGTTAGCCTCCCAGATATCCATCTCAGCACAGCAGGAGCCGTGGTTGCCAACACCAGAGTTGGCGTCGTTTGACGACGGGACCCAACCATCGACATTGCCCTAAAAGGAGGTAAATCAGCTTCTCAAGTCGCAGAAAGAGACAAGATAGAACTATAAAGTTACTAACCTGACCGTTGATGAACTTCAGGTCGCGAGGGCACTGGGAGTCACAGTAACCCGTGCCGTACTTAGCACCAGCCTTGTTGGTATCGTACTTGGACATACCGCCATCAGCGTCCATGGCGACGAAGTACAAAGCGCCGTTCAGGCCGCAAGGGAGGCTGGAAACATCCACGTCAAAAGTAAACTCCTGGTTCAGCAGCTTGAAAATCTGGTAGGTGCTGTCGTCCTGCATGAGATACAGGCGAGAACCGATGTTGGAGCCGGTAACAAAGTCCAAAGTCAGGGCATTTCCGGAGGTAGTAGCACCGTAGGTACCGGCGTAGTCTGCACCATCCAGGGCGCAGTTGGTAGCGCAAGTGGCATCATCGGGACAAAGAGTGGCATCCCACTATAGATGGCAAAGGTCAGTTATCAAAATTTGCGTGAAATAGATGATCGTGCATACCGTGTTGCCGGTGTAGCAGTTGGTAGTGCCATCAGTCGAGTGAACCCAGCGCCAATTGGCATCAATGACCACGGAGCCATCTTTATCCGTGCAGCCGGAGGAGGTGCACTCTTGCCAGGTAAGAGACGGATGGGTTTCTGCTTGCTGAGTGCCAGCCTGTTGGGCACTGGCACCTGCCATCAAGGCAGAGAACAGGAGGGCGCGTTGATACATCGTTGGAACAATCGAAGGAATGAATAGTTTGTCGGTTGATTTTCGTTTTTTGTCTTTGCTCTTCTTCACACTGGCCTGCAGTTGCGGAACAAAATCATGACCGAGGTCGCGGCGACAAGGCCTTTATATAACAGACTTGCTTCATACGAAAACCACTTGTTGTCCCATGTAGAGCTCGAAACAAGTTCTTCCACGGCTCTATGCCCGCTGTAGCGGACCATGACGCCGTCCCCAAATTGGTATGGGCAATGATGCTGAGGGGAGAAGAGACCCTTCATCAAAATCACGGGGACTGCCAGATTAGGTGACGGCCGTCGTCGTGCATTGATTTGAAAGTGGACCCGGCGCCACGATTAACAGGGGAGGGATCATCGTTAAACTTCAAGAGAATGGACTCGACAGGGTCTTGAACTGGAGTCTTGAGCGGCTACGTATCGGCTAGCGGTTTCAATAATATTCATCATTGCGGAGGCTTCTCCGATCTGACTTTGTCGATGACAGGGGCAGCTGTGGATATTTCATTGATATTTGTCAAGGCAATATAATCTGATATTCAAGCTCCCAGAAATGTCCAATGAAAGGCTCTGGCACCTGTTCTTTTGTTGGGATCAAAGCAATTTGCAAGATGCTCTTGCTACTGTATTCTTCCCCAGAGTCATGAGATATTGTGGAGGTGGCTGAATCTGCTAAGGTCGCCACTCAGCACCATGGCTACTGCATGGCTTGGTTAGTGGACATATCGCTGGGAACAAAGTAGTCTCTGGCCGGAGGAGGCGTTTTGGGGTAGGTCAGAATTCCCAAGAAACGTTCTGCACGCCCATTTAGGCATGGGGCGTTTCAGATCGGTGACGAGACCCCCTCCGTGGTAATATTTTCCAGGCACGCCGGATAAACTGACGAAAATCTCCTTCAATAAGAAGACGGTGGTTTAGTGCCTCGTATTCGTTTCGAGTGATCATTCCTGACCGTAGTTCTACTCGAAACAGAATGGTCAATTGGGATTCAGTGAAACGAGATGTGCCGCATACCATCAACATGATGATGCTACTTCAACAGTACATATTAGTATCATGATAGAAAGACTCGCAATGGTTCATTCAAGCATAAAGCATTCGTGTACGGTTGACCTGTTGACCGTAATGGGTGCGCGTACACAATGCTTGGACCCGATAGAACGCGACCGTTGTTCCACGTCGTTCCCAGAGTCCATGCGGGCCCGAGACGAAACTTCCATTTCGATCCACTCCAAGACGCTTAGGGCTCTTGGTCCGAAGCGGGGAGACGCCTTGTCACCCATTGGGCTGGCAGGTGATTCGATCTGAAGCGTCGACGGATAAAAGGGGGATGAAAGAGTATCAAGGACGAGTATGCCGGCTTGGCGGGTGGTGTCGATCACATTGCGGGGTGTCAGCCACTGGCTTGACGCCGCTCGGTAACTGCCCCATGGCTTAGATGTGTGGAATTTAGTATAGATTAGGCTCGTTTCTCCTCTATCGCGGCGGACGGATGAGGTGTTTGCCCCGTTTCCTCCATGGCTAAGCTGGAAGTGATCTACAGACTGACAAGGGGCCCTGGAAGAGACCAGAAAGATCTCATTGTGCATAAGAGTGTAATAAGCGATCAACACTGAGGATGGATAATAGCATGCTCTGACAGGGGTTTCCCCACGTTATCAAAGGTTCTGCAAGCCTTGCATCTGATGCACTTCAAGTTATGACGAAACTAGAGGGCATACCTGAGGATAAAGTAGCAATATCAAATCAGGATAAAAAACCACGTTCAACATACACTGGTTGATGTTCCAATAATACCATTTCCTCTACGCTTTTGCCTCATTGTATTCATGAAGACACATATCACGGTCATTCTTGTCACTATTTAAATTATCGTCTGCACCTATGCACAGGCAATAATCACTGGATCGCTAATTTTAATTGCATTAATACATATCAACGCAGAAAAAGCCATGTTTCCAAATGCGACACGGTTGTGCCATTGCATTAGTCGAGGCCTAAGTCAAGGTGGCATACGTAGTCTTGGAGCCTTGGCGATTTATTTGGTTGAAATGCAGATAGTTATATGGTAAGAAGTACCATGTTCCCTATGCGAAGATACATCAGACAGGTCTATGTATCTCGGCCACAGGCGAACCGTAAGCAACCAGCCCAAATCCTTTCTCTAAGGGGAATGGCTTTGGTGGCTTAGCGAGGCTTTTTCTAAATTTGACGTCGATCTTTGCCTTCTGAGAGTCAGAGAATGGAATAGGAACAAGAGGGTTTTATTGCCTAGAAATTATTGGGCTGAATGCCATAGCCAGGTGTTTTGGTGCGGAGCAAACCTCCGTCTTGCCGTAGATTGGGCAGCGGGATTCGTCGATGAAAGGAGTGGAACTTGGTTATTCTGGAAAAGACTTTCGCGATCACCAGTCACTCCAAAAAATTGACGAGAATCAAATATCTCCCACTAGGTCCTCACATTTCTTTCCCAAATTTCACACTCTTACTCACGACATGCCTTGTGTATAGATTCAGACTGCATGAACCAGGCTGATGACGTGCACCGTGCCTTATCGGACTTGGGCTTATCGGCCACATGGGGGCCTCGGTCCACTCTTGCTGGAGGCTTCCCAATGGATCCTCTTCTCTCCTTCTCTCCATCTCCCAACAGACCCAGTGCGCGCATTCCCATCAAGATCTCGCATTCTAGACCCTCACTCGACTGTCGTCTTAATCGCCACTGCTAGAATCCTTCGATCCAGGGGTACCCGTTAGTAACCATGGCGCTGTACAACCAAACCGTGGATTTCCTCTCCGAATCCTGGGCCAACCAGCGAACACAACTTCCCCTGTTGGCCGTAACGGGCGCATCCTTCACACTCGGCCTCCTGCTTCGATCGCTTTTCAAGGGGGACAAGCACAAAGAGGCCATTCTCGTCTCACCCCGCTCAACGGTTCTGCCTCCGCTGTCGGAAGCGGAAAATCGCAAACTGCCACTCCCGAATGACGTGCTGCCCGGTGCGCGCGATGTCGCGAGCCCGTACGGGTCGATCCGAGTGTATGAATGGGGTCGAGAGGATGGTCCGAAGGTTTTGCTTGTGCACGGCATCACCACGCCGTGTATCGCACTCGGTGGGGTGGCCCATGCGCTCGTCGATCGGGGTTGCCGTGTGATGCTGTTCGATCTGTGAGTGCTGTGGAAAATGCAATTCCACGAGGGAGATTTAACTAACCTATGTGAATTCTTCAGATTTGGGAGAGGATACTCCGACTGTCCGTCCGATCTGCCCCAGGATGAGCGACTTTTCGCGACGGAGATTATGCTCGCGCTGACTTCATCGCCCATTTCCTGGACGGGAGCTGGATCGGGCAAATTTTGCCTGGTTGGATACTCCCTGGGTGGTGGAATTGCTGCGGCATTCGCCTCTTTCTTCCCTCAACTTTTGTCATCGCTTGTGCTTCTTGCACCCGCTGGTCTTGTCCGCGCTTCTCAAATTAGCTTGCAAAGCCGCCTTCTCTATTCAGGTGGCCTCATGCCGGAGACTCTACTGGGGTATCTCGTTGGCCGTCGGCTGAGGGCCGGCCCTCTGCTTGCACCCAAGAAGAATAAGAATGAAAAGCTCAGTGCTGCAGATGCTCTCACCGAGGAATTGCCGTCGCAAAGCGCAGCTGAGGTTCAAGTCTTGTCTCGCGAGTATCCTCATATCAATATTATGTCGGCTGTGGCCTGGCAAGTCAACAATCATGCTGGCTTTGTTCATGCGTTTATGTCTAGTATGCGTCACGGTCCTATCCTGGGTCAACGTCAGTGGAGTACCTGGGCACGGCTTGGCGAGTATCTGAGCGCACAGAACAGCACAGTATCGGATGAGAAGAGTGAGAAGGGATTGCCAAGTGATAAGGTTCACATCTTGTGTGGCAACACTGATGCCATCATTAACAAAGATGAGCTTGTTACAGATGCTACTGCCGTTCTGGGTGGAAACGCAGTCTTCAAGTTCTACGAGGCGGGCCACGAGTTCCCCAGCACCAGATACGATGAAGTTGCAACTTACATTGCTAAGCTGCTGTGAAGGGAGATAAATTGGGGGTTGCAGGTTTAATTTTAGCTACTGAGCGTGCTTTGCTTGGATACACTCTTCTGCAGAAGAATCCATTGGTATGAATAGAAATACATAGACAAAGATAACACGCTATGATACATTTTGGGTTTTACATATTTGCACATATCTCACAACCCGGACTGGAACTTTGGCTCTTGCTAATGCAGGCAGTTCATTATTTCTTTAGGATATCATCCATCGCGTTGACTTGGTTGGAGAGGCCGTTCAAGTGCGTGGACCGGTCCTGAATTCGTGCCCCGGCGTAGTAGGGGCCTTCTGCCGCTGGTGCCCGGGCAAAGCGGTTTACGCTATTTTGGTTGGCCCGTGGGACTTGGCTGACATTGTTCTGGCTAAGAGAGGCAGCATTGCGGGAGCTGTTAAACCGAAACAGTTAGTTCGTCATCGGCGTGTGGGGGTTTAGACAGTGATCTCTTACCTGGAGGAAGACGGCTCGGGAATAGACATCGTGGATGATTGGTGCTCAGAAGATTGTTGAGAATGGATATCAGATGAGTTGTCGGTCGAAGGTTCTCGTCCCTGTGCTAAATCCGCTCCAAAGATGGAGAATAGAAGAGGACAGATGAAAGTAGCCACCGTGACGGATGATTGCTGGTGATAGCTTAAAGCAGCTCGGTCGCTTCTGATATTGGAGATGATGATACAATGGAATGTGATTTGGATTGATGGTGAAGAAGAAGCAGGGATTCAAGCTCTATATATGCAGGAGGCAGCTGCGAGGCTATGCCAAAGTAAAGGAATACTTTGACGTACACGCGAGCTTTGCGGCAAGCTTGTACTCCCGGCCCACATGGTCTGATAGGAGCTAAGTAAAGAACGGAATGGAGGGAAAATCTTCAGTTCGCATAAACTGCCCATGACGGCAGGGGCTCCACTACTCGTGGCTGTGACACCATTCCACCTGCAGAGTTGAAGGGGCCTGGCGAACGAGACAGTGTCCGCATGAACCATATCTGGTGGGCCTGGAATTCGGTGCAGTAGCCGACGCTAAACCATAATCAGCCATAGTGGGAAGAGCATAAAATGCAAAACAGGCGACAAAGCGGACGGGATTGGTTCCCTAAGGGGTGTCCATCGCATTGGGGGCCACGAAGGCGGAATCCAGATGCAGATGGTGGCCGTTGGGCTCATGAGTGGTGGAGATGGGATGAATGAGGTCCACTTTCACGATATAAGCACCAACGACAGCAATGATAGTCCAGGGCTCTACCATGCCTCGCTGCCAGGAACCACTCGGCACATGGCCAATAAGCCGATCTGGAATCTGGGCCGTGTGGAATGAGCCAAGGGAGACGCGGCTGCAGCTGTTTACGTGCAGCTACGCAGCTACGCAGGTTGGACGTTGGATCTTCAGAGAGAGATCGAACAAGGGTCATGGAAGGGAAGGAGCGTCATGGCGCATGGGAAGGTCTAGAACTAACAGCGCCCTGGGCTTGCGAGTGCTAAGGTAGGACGAGTTGGGTTAGTCTAGGGTCTGGCATCGAAAATCGGTTCAATCAGAGGCGTTCATGCTCAGGCGGTAAATGCGATTGCGCGGAATTCTCGCGTGGTTGCTCTGGCGAGAGACTCGAGAGCGAAGCTTCAAGGGTGAAACAATGTCGTGGGCCCAACGTGGTCGATCACATGGCGGATCACGCACTGGCCAGTCTGGCCAAGGGGGACTCTTTCTACTTTCGCGGGCTCCACTGCCAAAGTGCGAACCTCCTCGCTTCTGCCTCCACGCGAGAGAAACCATCACAGCTTTCGATGCTTTCGATGGTAATGCGGTATTTCCCCGGCCACGCGTGGAAATATGTTTCTCATTTTCCTTTTTCGAACTATCTAGGTGCTGATCTCGCATGACAAAGATATGGGCAGGGTCAATTTGGCTATTCTTTTGCCTAATATGCGGCGTCCGACAGTTGAGCTCATTCCAGCAATGCCTAGCCTCTAAGCCTTACGATTCAGCCATTCGACATAGCCATAATGCCGCTCTGTGGAATGCCGGTGACCTTGCCCTGATTCGGAGGTCGTCGGAGATGTTGAACTCATGAGCCACTCTGAAACGAGGTGTTCGTGTGTCCTACGAAAGGGATGGCACGTGGACTGCCTTTTCTGCTACACTACTGTATTATTTTCTGCGGTGCTAGCCTTGTATGACGAGTCCACTCGTGCAGAGAGCTCCAACATCAAGGCTAACCGATTAGGTAGCCATCAGCAAGATGCATTCTGCGTTGAGTGGCGTCTAGATCCCTCGTACCGTGTTACTAACGTAACACAAGTCTCCAGAAAAGCACTTGAATTACGAGAGAAAAGAAAAGAGGAAGAAGCATGCAGCGGCAGTCTGTAAAGGCCGAAGATGAGCATCAAGTCCGTTTCCAGCGAGTGGCTTGCGGTCCGCTCCCTCCGTAAAAGGCGGGAGTTTCTTTTCTACCATCCCCCTCGGGGTCTCCAGTCCTCGTGCCCTGCCGAGTTATGCAGCACGATGCGGCAATATGCGGTTCGTCGAATGACTGACCCCAACCCTTCTGTGGACGGCCCTGGACGGCCCTGGATGGCCCTGGATGGCCCTAGGCGTACTCTAGGACTAGTCCACCCCCACCTTGAGTGCCTCACAGCCACAATTCCCATATGGAAAGCCGGCGTTTCAGATAATAAGGTTGCTTTTCCCACGCTTGTTCACCATTCCAGCCTCTCGAATTGCGCAATGTTTAATGACGTTGTGGGTCCACAATTTGCTGGGATATGCAAGGCACGCCTGGTCCGAGCGCCGGAATCCCAGCAACCTTATCTCCTTTTGGTGTTAACCGTCGATCCCCAGCGCAAAAGTTCTATTGCATTGATCGATCGCAGGATGAGCCTGCTGGCGCCCCATTTGGGAGTCGCGAGTCAGCTCTCTCAAACCGACCAGTCGGGACGCTCGGCTGTGTTTTGTTTATTGGAACCCTGAATTGGTCGGGTTGGGGTTGTTCTGTACGACTCGTGGCAAGTCTCCCAATCGCCAATGCCGCCCAACCGTTGACCTCTGCCCTATTCTTGGCTATTCAAACCGAATCATAGAATAAGCTAGCCGAAAAAAGTAATTATGCAAACTCGCCAACCAGACCCCTTAATTTGCTCCATATTATTCTACCTATCACACGCAAAAGTCCAAAGCCCGCAATCAAAAATTGCAATTAATTGAGCCTGCTAAGGGGCAGTTCACAATAGTTCCCCAGGCACCGCCAAAACCAGCAGCGATCGGCCGGCTGATCATCCCTTGAGGGGGTCAACGTTTGCCCAACTTGCAAATCACGCAGAACCCCTCAGTCTGAAACGCGAAACCATGCTCGAACTGTGCCACCGTGCCCAACGGCTTACGGCTAGGATGCCGAAATCACCAGTGGCACAGTGCATTACCGTTGCCGGCGCAACGATTCTGAAGCACACCATGCCACGCGATTCACCGTATTTTCGTTTACGGTGATTCGGGACTCGAACTACCTCGAGTGTGATGCGGACACCAGGGCAAGTGCCGGAGTCCGCGCTAAACAAATACGTACTATACGGCGAAACAAAGCGACCTAAGCGTTCCGAGGTCCCCGAAACAAGTGCTGAGGCAGTTTCAGCCCCAGATCATCCCCTACAACCCGACTCTCGGCCCTGACCCAGGCCCGTGCAAGGTTGTGCTTGAACATCCCAGCCGAACAATCGTCACAACTCCTTACCTCGATCTGTGACAAACAGGTACGAAAAAAATCCCCGCGATATACGAGATATCTCCTTCCAAATATGGAACACCGAGGATCGTAATATCCCACCAGTCCCCTTTTGCCCAGCCCACCAGCTCATCCCCAAGAAGCTTAGGCTCTCCTCTTTAGGTAACAATTCTCTGCTCCAACCCGAATCAAAAAGTACGCGAGCTGGGCGCCGTAAACGGTTGATCTTCGGGTTGTCTATTTCCTCGGGTCACTGATTCATCAATTGGTGCGTTACCGTTGGCTGGTCGTTTGGATGGTTGCTTTTTTTATCAGTGTTTCTCGAAGGTGCAGCCTTGTGATTTGCAGGTCGCGTAAACTACAGTAGTCTAGCGCCAAACCAAACTGTCGGGACGGGGATGGCGGGAATGCTCTCCCGAAAGTTGGGAACTTGAAACATTAGCCTGAACTTATTTGTGGTTTGAGGTTGGAGACTGGGAGTGATATATCATCTGTGACTTCATTGTTGATTATCTGGTTTGACTGTTCTGCTCTCCTCCTGCCTCTTTTAGATCGGCGTGTCTGGGCAGTGTCGGGAGGAGGAACACTGTCTGCGTGGTAGCCAAGTGAGGTCATTTTCCGCGCTAGTTTGAGAAATGAGTGTGTGCAAAAGCAAAACCATGTGCACCAGGCCCGAATTGGAAAAGAAATGGTTTGTCTCCGTGGTGCGGAAATTGACGGCGGATATTTCTATCCGCGGAATTCCCAGAACGCTAACGCCTCGATTGCTGGTGAACAATTCGGATGGAAGAAAAGGACAGTCGAGGTTCGGGCATCCACCGTCTGGGATATCGAGATCCATCCGGGGTGAGGATCAAAATTTACAGCGGTGTTTTCGCTAAGCAGTAAAATCGTTGCAGAGACGGGATTTTGCAAAATATATTTGCTTCGTCGGCTGTTCTTCCTTGCCTTCTACATTAGGCACCGCAAGTGAGGTATGAGCGAACGAAGGAACTAGAAGAAGGGAAAACAGGAAAATGAACAATGCTTACCTAGATTCTTTTAGTCAAGCAGTCGAATACGAAAAATCGAAACTTATCGTGAGAGCGATGCCGCTCTAACGACCAAGTTTTTCAAGTATAACGCTTGGCACTCCGCATTCAGACTTGGACTAGGTAAAATGGAGAATAATGATGATCCATGTCGATAGGGCATTCAGAGTAGGCAAGGAGTCGCCGACAAATCTCTCGCCAGGGTACTACATTATCATATTCTGGTAGAAAGGCCTTTGTGTTTACGAGCAGCCGCGACATCGAGTTAAGACCAATTGAACACCGGAATTTCCAGCAGAAACTTGATTGGACGCGGCCATCACACAGGTAAGTCACAGATTATACGATGTCTAAGATGGCACCTAACGGCTCATAGAAATAAGAGAAGCCATTGTGTTTACAATTATCATTCTTGTATACACTTTAGCCCACGAGTTGCGAGCTATGGATAGACCTAGATGGGTAAGCGTCCCTATCTTGAGGACTTTGTCGGTGTCAGGCAGATAAAATCTGTGAACTCGTAGAGACTAAGGAACAAACTACCTGTCATTGAAGTTTAGACAAGTAGCTACTAGGTGCTGAGTAGGTAGTTATCTCAGGCAGGGCTGATCAATGATATATATCGCAGAAGACCGATCCTGTGGCACAATGGAAGGTCATTAAATTCTTAGGTGTTGCTACCAGAAAAGCTCTCGTCTCCAAGATACTCTGTCGAAATATTTCCAACTTTCTCTCATTTGTGTTATAAGTGCCTCAATTTCGCGGGGGTGGATCAAAGGGATCATCGACTGTCACCTTTATTCGCCGATCCAAGCACTTTCCCTCAGAATGTCTTGATCATCACTGCCGCCCAGTGCGCTTTTGCTATTGAGCCAGAAAAGCTAGCAGAGAATATCCGCAATGTTGATAGCAAATACGTGGTCTGCGAGAGAATGGTTGGTTGCGCTCATGGATGGGATAAGGAAGCCGTTCGAGGCACACTGCAGGGTGAGGCAAAAGACAAGGCATATAATATGGCAGCAACTATGTTACGGAACACAGAGGGAGGATCGGAAAGGCCTCAAACGACTGTGGTGTGAAATTTGATACCCAAGCATCTATAATTTTCCCCACTGCACAGATGGATTGATATGGCTAATCTTAAATTGGAACATACACCATTTTGATCACTGACTCTTATTCTAACAATTATTTTTGCATCATTGCGAAGTGACAGCATGTTGATACTGCTATGTACTCCAGCCACATTTTGAAAGTCGTGAGACGGTAGCAAATCTAGGACAAGCCCCATATACCCAGAGGATCTGGCTGGCCAGATTGACTTCTCTGGGCCTGCAAAGTTCTCACTCGCTTCACAAGAGTTCCAACACAGATCGGACCAATGATAGTGCACAGCGTAATTGCCCACACTACGACCAGGTAGATTTCTGAAATGCCGTTAATGGTGCCTTTGTCAGGTTGTGCGAATAATCCACCCGTTTCTGCCACAGACGCAATGAGATATCCTATTTCGCCTCGTGCAATCATCGCCAATCCGACAATAGAGGCTGGGTATAGAGAGCGTGGCTGTTTCCCTGCTGTGGGATTTTGGGATAGAGTTGGAGAGCGAACTTCGGCTCCTGACTGCTGTTGAGATGTCGGTGTATTTGTAGAAACGCGTGATTGGTGAGCTGTTTTCTTTCCTTTCTTGTTTCGCTCAGGCACTTGTCTATGGGCCTCCTGCTTGCGACTTGATGTGCACCAAGTAATCGGGATTGCTACCACTCTTTTGAGTTTCGCTAGGCCAGATACCGGGCTGATCGTAATCGGTAGCAGCCAGATACCAGTGACAATTTTTGCAAGTGCCATTAATAAGGTGTACACAATACCTCGCCAGACAATTTGCCCTTGGAACATCTGTGTTATCGGAATCGCAAACCCGATCGACGCCTATCTCAGTCAGTGGGTTGTCCAGTGAAAGTAGATTTTCGGTAAAGAAAAAGCTCACGAAGAAGAATGGGCATAAGATGAATTGAAGTGGCTGCTTGCAATATGCAGTAAAAGTCTGCTGGCCTGAAGCCATGCGAGGTTTATCTTCGCTAACAAAGCTTGTAGATGAGTCTGAACCCAAAGCGCCGTTCCCTTGTGGAGTCGTTCGAGACGGGATGTTGCTGCTTGGGCCTCGTGGGCTCATCTCAATGGGTGACTGTGAGGCACCACTGGCCTCACAAATTGGGTTAGCCCCCTGATATGAGCTCTGCTCGGTTGAAATATGGAGATCATCAAACCAGGAGATACAGGCACCTGCGAGATATGCTGCAAAGAGTCCCGAGGTACCCGCATATGATGCTCCAGTCACGAAGCCGATCAAAGTCGCCATATGTAGAGCGAATGCTACCTGGGTCTTCTTGCCTTTGCGCAGTAGGCTGCTGTTCATCCCCCGCAACTTTCGCACGGCTGGCTTAACAGCAAGGCCGCAGACGAGAACAATCCCAATAGCAAAGCCAACAGCTACGCAAATAGGACGGACGACGGTCACCGCGCTGAATGACCCAGTAGTGGAACTGCCCAGGTTCGATATGATTTGGACCATGACAAGGCCTGCAACATCATCCATCATTGCAGCACCACTGAGCACAGTTCCTAGTCTCGATTTGTCCAAACCGGTTGTGGAGAGGATTGTAAAGGTGGTGCCAATGCTTGTTGAACATAGCGCTGCTCCGGCACCAAATGCTTGAAGGGATGTTGAATCCACGAGGCGCATCAGTACAAATGACAGGGCCACTGGAGTCGCAACACCCGTGAATGCGGCAACTGCCGACAGGAGAAGATTCGCCTTCAATTGCTTGAACGATGTTGAAAGTCCGCCTACATCAATGTTAGCTTGGAATAAACCAAAAATGATACTTTGGAAATTCAAAAAGCAAAATAAAACATACAACAGCCAGGATTCGCATGTGGTCACCCACCATACTACTAACTGGCCGGCGTGTGGCTTAAGTACGGCTGAGCGGACGGGAAGCCCTGTTCTCCACACCCTATGGTCGTATGTGACAGAAAGATCCTCTCTTGTGCTCAAATGGGAGACAAGTCTGATCGATAGAACGGGATAGAGGGATATGGAAAGATGATGGCTGACAGGACGGGAATGAGCTTTACCATCGTGGCCAATCCCTGAGACAATAACAGCATGAAGCACACCATTGTAATAGGGATTGAAATCACGACCAAGGCGGAGAAAAATCGAACAAAAGAAGAAAGCCATTTACCTTCATATACGAGAAGGAAAAGGCCAAGATAGCCCAATTGTTGCATCATCTCTTGTGCGTCGAGGGTCAGCCACTGTGCACCCGGCATACCCCAAGCTACTCCGATGAAGATCTGCCCAATCAAGCCACAATATACCAATCTATCCAGGAGAGAGTTGGCTAAATTGAGAACCAACAGAAACCCTGATAGGATCAGGATTGTCCGGATGCCCGGCTCCTCGTACGATAGCGCTGATTGGGATGTCATGGCGAATAGTGATTGTCTAGTGAAACGACTTTAGGTTGATGTCCACGCACATCCACTGAAGACGATGAAATCTCAGCATGCGAGAATTCTTCGATAGGATGCCGGGTTGATAGAGTGATATTGACAAACAGAGTACGTTGCTGTGGCGTGGACTTTCGTAGTCGCATTGGTTGGTGATGTCTAATGCCTCAAATAAGGTCACATGAACTTGGTGCCTGAGGCATTCATAAAGATAAATCGGGTAAATCACTCTTGCCTGGTCAGATGGGAAGAAGAACTAGTAACGGAAGACCCGGTGAGCCGGAAAATCTCTTAGCTCTTTGATAGCCATATACGTAAGTATCTTCTTCGCGTCACTTTTGCATACGGGGCACTACATCTGAGCTTTTATATGAAAATAGTCAAGGCTTCAAAATGCAATTCATTCAGCGCTGATGTCGATTTCCAGTCGATCATAATATGAGAAAACCCCCCAAAGTCCGTCCATGTACCAAAATCTAAATCTATACAAAAGTCTATATTTCTTTCAAAGCCGTGTCATCTTGCTTCAAGGCTCGTCCGATGAATCTTGATTCTCTTGGTGAAGAGCACCATCTTTGACATCGAATCGGAACTGCTCGTCTTCTGCAGCCAGCTCGGCCTTCAGCTTCTTGTTCGCGTTCCAGATAGGCTTGATCTTGAACAGGCGCTCGACCTTCTCCAGAGGGATACCACTGGTCTCAGGGATGAGGAAGAAGGCAAAGAAGAATGCGAGGAAGGACAGGGAGGCGAAGAAGAAGTAGACACCGTATCCCATGGTCGCGAACATCTGTTCGGTGAAGCGCGAGACGAGGAAGTTGAAGAGCCAGTTGCTGGCAGTCGTGCAGGCCTGAGCCAGTGATCGGAAGTTGGGGTCGAAGAATTCCTTTTCGCAATTGTTAGTCCAGATCAAATGTCGACAGTGACAAATCTTACAGAGTTGATGACCCAAGGGGTACCGTTCCATGTAGGAGTATAGACCGCGGTCCACAGGTAGAAGAAGACGATAGCGGCGATACCACCACCGTTCAAGGTGCTAGTAGGGTGATCGGCTGGCTCGACGATATAGATGTAGGCACCAATAACCCACATACAGACAGATCCAGTAACGGCACCAATAAGAAGAAGCTTACGTCTTCCCAGTTGATCAACCAGGAAGAGTAGCCAGACGAAGGTCATGGCCGCCTTGACAACTCCGAAAATACCCGTCATAATGCTAACGGTGTCACTGGCAACACCAATGCTCTATAGAACCGTTAGAAAATACCCTTATTATATCACTTCAACTTGAAGAACGAATACTCACCGAGAAAATTGTAGGCGAATAATAGTTGATAGCGTTAATTCCCGAGCCATTTTGCCAGAAGAAGAGCATACATCCCAGGAACAAGCGCCACATCATGTTGGGACGCTTGCTAAGGGCCTGGAAAGGCTTCCAGAAGCCGAGGCCGACGATAGCCTTTTGCTCCTCGTGTGCTTGGTCAATGGCGGCAATCTCTTCAGTGATATAGAGATCAGACGCAGTAAGCTGGCGGATCCAGCAGAGATTTTCCACTGCTTGCTTGCGGCGGTCGTGGAGGAAGAGCCAACGGGGGGATTCCCGAATCCACAGCGAACCGATGAACAGCATGCCAGCAGGAATGAGCTGAATGGCAAATGGAATGATCCACTGCTGATGGCTTGGGGCCAAATGTTGCTCAACACCATACTAGGCAAAGAAAAACCATTTGTTAGATTGGGGCAAAATTTTCGATCAAGGGGGCAGATCCGGGATCATGACTCACGTTAATCCAGAAGCCAACCAAACCACCAATCTGCCATCCCAGTTCATAGAGACCAACGAGACGGCCTCGAATAGCCGGGGGAGCCAGCTCAGACAGATAGATGGGAATGATGTTGGACGCAATACCCGTACCCAGACCAGACAAGACACGGCCAGCATACAGGATACCGAGACCACGAGCAGAGTTGGCACCGCACTGAAGGCCAGCACCCAAAGAGAACAATGCGGAAGAAATGGCCAGACACCACTTGCGTCCGATCCAGTGGCTAAGTCCGTATGTGAAGAGAGCACCGAAGAAAGCCCCGGCGATGAAGAGGGAGACAATGTTTTCACTGATCAGGTCCCTGCCTGCCTTGGACATATTTTCCATACCAAATTCATCCTTGAAGGATGTAAGTGTGACAGTGGTACCGATGAAAGCACTCGTATAACCGATCATATTGGAACCACATGATGCAATGAGAGCGAGCACGTAGACTCGCCAATTGTAGACCGAGGGAGGAGTTGGCCGGTCCTCAACGAGGTGTAGAATGCCACCCATGGCTGCTAAGTCGAACAGCTAGAGGGGTTGGGAGGAGGGCAATTGGGTCGAGGAAGAAATTTTTTTTTGATAGGATGGAAAGGGTATAGATGGAGGAAAAATGAAGGACGGAAGGGAGCCCTCTAAGTAATGCTTCAGTCGCCAGTGGAGAGTGTGGGTGTGGGTGTGGAATATTCTTCTCAACGAGCCATCTCCACAAGTTACGTAGCGTAGAACCCCATCGCTCTGGGGCAGTATGGGGTTTGAACGTGAAGCTGTGAAGCGCATGGAGATTCCCTGCAAAATCCCACGGGGTGCACGCTGTTGCTCGGGGTAGCGTTTTCCCCGGTTGAAACATTCAGCCGGGGCCAGCAAATGACCTCTGGTATATATCTAACTCGGAATCCTACTTCCTGGTCTGGGTATTATTCATGGTGGATCCTCCTTGATGCTCAAGCTTTGGTGAGAACCTTGCCTCTTTCACCGGGCAAGTTTGGCGAGAGGCAAGATCCCAGCTATAATGTCCTTGCATTATTTCTCCATTGAGTATGCTAAAATCGCTTTTCCCAAGCGGGATGCTAGGCGACTGCTCGAGTCGCCACAATGTGCGTAATCATGCACCAGGAACATCCGCTCTCCCCTCGGATCCCACCGGAACTTGGGTGTGGGGAGAAGGAAGGAGAGAGCGTAAAATCCATGCAAATAACCAGTATCCTATTCGTAGATTGAAGTGGTTGAGGAAGGAGAACTCCTGGTGTGCCACGGGGAGAACCCTTAACCCTGGTGGAGTAGACGGAAGAATGCCGAGGAGGCGAAAAAGAAAGAATCAGAGAAGTACGGTCACGTGAGCGGGCCGAAGACGACATGCTGTGGCCGGGAGTTCAACTCGGCCATTGACATGGCTGGTTTACCAAAAGATATTGATGATCGTTGGGATTGAGTTTTCTGTCCAGATGTCATTCACTGCCTATAAGGTTATTCATGTCCCCATCATGCAAGCCAACAGGGGTTCAAGGCTAAATGGCTTCGAGAGCTGGCAAAACATCAAGCCGCGATGCAGCCCGAATTATCTTCCCCGAAGTTCTGCATGTTGAACGGCCAAGACGGCCCGGACAGTGCCCAGCTCATAGACGGCGGGTTCCTACCACTACGGGAAGAGACCAAGTGGAGCATCAATTGCCGACGGTCTGTTATTGTCACCGGTGAAGAAGTCTGTATTAAACATGGCGTTTTCTGTCTGCAGGACGGAGGACTCCTTCTGGCACAGGAACCACCTCTGGAAAAAGACTGGTCTTGTGCAAAGTGACGGGGAGAAATGTGTAGGTGATCGGTCACTTTGGACAAGCTTAATTCTCGGGCCGCTTGCGGCGTGCCTCATCGCGGTCACGGCCCGATGATGGTTAAAAGCCAGCGAGATTGGCAGTCGAATGGCGATGAGAAGCTGTTGTCCTTCCATCAGGAAATTTATTGGTTGAAAAGTCATCAATTAAAGCTGTATCTCATTATTTGCCTGGCATTCAATTCGCTATGCCTCACCAGCCGAGTGCCACTCCCGGTGTAACAAAACGCCTCTGCTCGTGGATCCACGCTCTATCCCTCGACGATGTCCCCGAAGATGTGAAAACCCGGGCCAAGTACCTGATACTGGACGGTCTATGCTGTGCGCTAGTCGGGGCTCACCTTCCTTGGGTCGAGAAAGCTGCCAATGCAGTCTTTGCGATGGAATCTGAAGGGGAGTGTGCTGTGTGGGGTTATAACAAGGTGCCTGCACCGTCTACGTTTTTATACACATCCATAGATATCCGACGAGTGGAGAGGACTGACATGGACTTGCGAATAGAAACTCGGCCCACTAGCCGCTACGCTCCTGAATAGTACCGAGATCCAGTCCTTTGAGCTTGACGATTGGCATATGCTAGCTCCAGTCCATTCTAACTCTATCCTACTGCCGCCGCTTCTTGCGGCCGCTGGTCAGAAGAAGGCCAGCACCCAGGCCAAATTTGACGGCAAATCGCTTCTCCTGTCCACGATAGTGGGCTATGAGACGGGTCCACGTGTTGGACTGTGCCTTTATGGTGGACATATGCTGACACGAGGGTGGCACTCTGGTACTACATTCGGCCACGCCGCCGCGGCTGCCGCAGTGTGCAAGCTGCTGGACCTTCCCGAGGCTGCAATCGAGGATGCGCTTGGCATGGCGTGTACTCAAGCATGTGGATTAATGTCGGCTCAATTTGGAAGTGATGTGAAACGCATGCAGCACGGATTCGCGGCGCGAAATGGCCTTTTCGCAGCTTTGATGGCAGAAAGCGGCTACATCGGGATTAAGAATGTCTTCGAGGAACCTTATGGTGGTTTCTTGTCCACATTTGGGCAGAATTCCGGTAAGGAGCCGCCATACCTGGTGGATGAACTTACCAGGGGTTTGGGAGAGGTCTGGCAGTCTGATAATATCCGGGTCAAATCGCATGCGTCCATGGCGGGAACACACTGCACCATTGACACGGTCGCGCAACTGCAAAATGAATACCCCGACAAACTATCCAGCTTGGAGAACATCAGCAACATCAAGATCGAGATGTCCGAAGCTGCTTTCAAGCATGGAGGATGGAAGGCACAGCGGCCGCTCTCAGCGCTGGGGGCACAAATGTCCTGCGCTTATGTGGCTGCCGTCCAGCTCATCGACCGTCAGGTTTCACCACAGGAGTTCCACCACGACTTGCTTGATAGGGATGATTTATGGGATATGATTGACAGAACCGAGTGTTTCCACACACCAGAACTAGGCGAGAAATACGAACAACGCGTCACGATCGCATTCAAGGACGGAAGTACGGTCGCAAAGACATTGGACGCGCCGCAAGATGTTGCCCCGGGGCTGTCGAATGAAGAAATTCTGGAGAAGTACAGGCGATTCACGGAAGGCATTGTGGACGCTCAGAGACGAGACGAGATCGAGAGGCTGGTGTTGGACATCGAAAATATCGAGGACATTACGGTCCTAGAGGAGCTACTCGCTGGACCCACTAAGAACCCGATAGATTAGAATATAGAAAATGGATAAGTGATTGAATCGAACAAACCTGGAAGATTGAGTTCATAGCATGTTGCTGGCCGTTTGTTGATTGGGAAGCGGAGCAATGACGCGGTAGTTGAATGATTTTAGTTGATAGCCTCAGGCACCATCACGTGGCTATGATCGTGGGGGGAATGCCTCGTAAACCATCAACACACTCGCGCTTCTCCCATGTCGCCGGCCGCAAATTAGGAACTAAACACGATACAAGGAAGACTGCGTATGTGAGATCCGCAAGTACTGGGACGTGGTCTCCTCTGAAGTGGGGACAGTCGCGGTCTCGGAGAGCCTCATCTGCCTACCTATGACATGCCCCTCTCGACTTGTTCATCAGTAGATCATCTCAAACCTGGTAAAACCTTATGACTACCTACCAGACTAAGCCTATGAGCTGAAGGGGCTGCTAATGAATGTATAGAGCAAATAAAATCTCATAGTCTGTTACGAGATGGATAACTCGGCATCCCCTGCAGCCATCCAAAAAAGTATCTGGGATGGGCGCATTCCCCTCGAGATTGTCCTTGCTCCCGCTGAGAGCCGGAGTTATGACAAAACGGATGCATATCTTGTAATGACCGCACATGCTATTATTGCCTTGCTTGTGAACCTGATTAACATTCATCAACCAGGTCTCATACCCACGCGTCTCATATCTTCCCTCGTTGCTACCAAAGCTTCGAGCCTTTTTCTCGCCATATCTGATCGAGCCTGGATCTCGACACCATTATGGATGGTTCGCTTTTGAAGGAGTACCCCTGAAATGGCACTACCCAGTCGGTCTCCTGTTCGACCTATACGCCGGAGCAGATCCTGCCACCAAATCCGGATTTGGAAGCGACGTCTCCCGGGAGACTGCGGCACCTTTCCCCTGGCGGTTGACTGTTCATTTCGGTGACTGGCCTGCCGAAGACCTCGTTCGACTTGATGAGAATGGCATGGTGATGAACGATGCGTTCATCAACAGCGTCAAGGAGGCGGATTTCCTTCGGAACGGAACCGCAAAAGGCATCATGACCCTTTCCAAAGAGGACTCATCTGGTCTTTGGAAGGCAGTGGAAAATGGTAAGCTCAGTATACCTCTGAATTATTCCGAGTATAAACTGACTAAGAATCGTCGCGCAGTGGACCTTCCCTCTTTCCAACGTATTTCCCATATTCTTCTTCCTCCCCCATCACAGCCATTCCGCAACGTCCCAATTCGCATCTTCTTACCGCTACCACCGGACGAAGAGTCCGGGTCACTTAAAGTAGTACAGTCACCTCTTTCCCCTTCAGTACCCAGCTCAGGTGTCCAGCCCAGCCAATCTATCAGCCCCCGATCGAGCCCAGGTATGCAGCCTCAGACCATAGGGGGTGTTCTACATACGCTGCTTCCAAATCTCTTCCCCAGTCGGCGGACTCCAGTTCTTGCAAAGCCAGTTCTACATGGTGCTGTACTTCCCATGTCAGCTCCCATTGAAGAGGTGGTGAGGAGCTCGGCGTATGGCGATGGCTGGGCTTATGTTGTTGTGAGGATGATGGGATAATGTCAAATTTCATGTCACGGCTGGGAGCCAGAGATGGGCTGGAGGAAAACGAATGAGTGTGTAGGTAACACTCCGTTACTAACGGCGGCGGCCTTGCGATATCTTAACCAGAAGACCACGCACTTGGTATTTATCAAAAATGGAAACCCATTGAAAATAATCATATGTCCAGGTTGTGACAATTTAGAGACTGAAGTATGCACACGGTGACGAACACGGCATGTTGTCATTTTGAATTCTAGGATGTCCACGTTACATATGGAAAATGATGAAGTAAAAGAGCAGCCCCGGAGGATATATCAAGAGTAAAAAAAGAGAAGGGAACAGAAAAGATAAGAAATAAATGACATAAACAATGCGCTGAGCGATGGGTATCAGCTTGAAGAAAGAATTGATGGAATATTCATAGACGTCGTCGATGCTCTCGATCCCCAGGTTGAACCATCTTCCCCAATCAAAGTCGAACCCCCGATCCCATCAGTGTCAGACCCGATTTCTAGCTCTTCAATGTCTGTAATGATGCTGTCAAGTTCTGTATTTGGCGAGTGATGCATTATCCCTGCTTCATAGGCTCGCAGGGTCTTCGTCTTACTCTGCTCAGTGGAGTCGGACAGAGTCTCATTATATGGGACAGGCTTGCGGTTACTTGAAAACTCAGAAGGGCCTTTGATTTTAGGATCTGCACCAGCATTAAGAAGGAGTGCCAAAATGCTGTGTCGGCCACACTCAACAGCCAAGTGCAAGGGTGTCCGACCATCGATCGTCTTGACGTCAAGCGCAGCACCGTTCTTGACGAGAAAAAGAACCAGTGGCTCTTGGGGTGTTTTCGCAGTGATAGCAAGATGTAGTGCCGTCTCAGACTTGTACGAAAGAAGCTGGGCATTGATGTTGGCTCCACGAGATAAAAGGAGAGAGATGTAATGTATGACCTTATCCAAAGGTAAGTCGATGACATCAAGATGATTAATAATAACATTATGAATTGGTGTTAGCCCACTGCAGGTCACTGCATTTGGGCTGAGGCTCAAGTCCAGAAGAATGGCTAGAATGTCGAGGTAGTTTTGGTTGAGTGGGGGAGTGATATGAAGAAGTGTTTCACCCTTCGCTGTATGGACTTGGGCGTTGGCACCTTCGTCTATAAGGTAGAGGAACATGGGTTTGTTACCCGAAAGAGCCGCACATTGCAGAGGTGTATAGCCTTGTGAGTTACAAGCCTCAATATTTGCACCATTATCAAGCAAATGTGCAATTATCGACATGGTCGAGCCTTTCCGGGCTTGTTCGTGAAGCAAAGAATCGCCATCGTTATTCCATGCATTGACATCCGCACCGCCAGTGATGAGAAGGTCGAAGGCAATCCAGTGGCCCTCACCCGCAGAGATATGAAGGGCAGTATTTCCACTGGAAGAACGAGTTTCCGGCTTTGCGCCACGCTCAAGTAGTAGCGAGACTGCCTCACAATTGTCAATCTTGCAGGCTAATTGAAGAGGGGTGAGACCCTGCCTGTTCAATATATTGAGATTTGCCCCTTTTTCAATTAAAAATAGAAGAATCCGAGGCCTTTTAAGCTCCACTGCAAGATGAAGAGCTGTATTACCCGTGACAGTGTTCTGAACATCCATGTCAAAGCGACTTTTGATCAGAAGCGGAACAGTTGCTTCATCAGACGCCGTCCCAACTGCCGATTGGAGTGCCGTAGAACCTTGCAAATTGGCGGTTCGTAAGTTGATTCGGCGGTTTAGTAAGGTTTTGATGAGTTTTCGATGTCCTTGTTCAGCGGCAATATGTAGAGCAGTACTGCCATCTTTGGAGGTTGCATTGAGATTGGCATTGTGCTCAATGAGTAAATCAACCATTTCCTCATGGCCGCGGTGGACTGCGCAATGCAATGCAGTTATGCCAAGCTCGTTCTCAGATTCGTTGATATTGGCGCCTTGCTCAATTAGACGATTTGCCTTGCCAAGGATTCCGAAATATGCCAGCACGTGTAATGCACTCCAGTCAAGAAAGTAACTGCCAAGCCCCAGACGCTTTGGTATATCGGCAGCTGTGGCATAGCTCGATTCGAGCGGGGGCCTTCGCCAGCACAATTTGTTCAGGAATGCACGGATGAGGACTTGTGTTGTCTGCTCATCACCGTTGACTTCACGTGCATGATCACCCCAATACGTAATAGCATAGTCTAACAAGCAATTCCTAGACTCGCGTGGACAGAGCCCTTTTGTCATATAACACTCATCAACAACTTCATCTGAAGTTATAACGGTGAGACAAGTCTCTGCAATATGCTTCTTGGCAGTGGGAAAGAACACCCTAGCAGCTGGGCCGCCGAGATACTCCTTGGCAGTTCGGTGAACTAGATGAACAGTACCTGATATAGCGTCAATGCTCAGAAGACCTGCAGTTTCATGTAACATCGACCGTTCTGAATGCAAAGGGTCTTTTGGAGGCGTGCTGACCAGCATCTCGAAGCTGGCAGCAAAGTTCAGTTCCGATACTGTCAGTGGCCTGCATGCGTAGAGCGTCCAGAACAAGCACCGACTTGCATAAAGATTTTGGCTCACAATCCGTGTCATTGATTCGCCATACGCATCATTGATGCTTTCTGGAAGATGGAAGAGTGCTCGTTGGAGTAGATTTCCGTCAGTACACCTTGACAGCAGATCCATATGTAGGCGAGCAAGGAGAAACCTGAAGATAGCATTAAAGGTCAGAAAAATGGCCTAACGCGGATGAGAAAACATGGCAGGAAGGAATAAGAATGCTTACAAGCCGTGGCACTTCTTAACAGCTTGCTGCACAACTGCGGTCCTGAGTTCGGACGGATATTCTTTCAGCAAGGATTTAAGCCCTTCGCTCTCATTGATACAGTTGCCGATGTACGCTTCCAGATCATCGCGGATAGCTAAGACAGAAAGGTGCTCGTCTTTTGAGTCATATTTTGCTTCCCGCATCATGACAAGTAATTGGGCGTGGTCGGGGAGTTTTTGAAGACGATTGAGAATGCGCTCTTTCTCAGATGGAGTTTCAACACCATCTATCACAAAGAAAACCCGAGAGAACCTATTGACCTCTGCACGAATGGCATCTTGGAATGCCTTTGCAGAGGCTCGGCCATTCTGAAATGACTCTGACTTGTAAAGGGAGACGGTTGCTTGAGACGGGGTTCGTTTCCTGTAGACAAGCTGAGCAAGGATTTTGTCAAGGAACCCAAGTGTACTGCCCTCCTCCATCTCATCTTGGCCAAAAATAAACACAATGGCCACCTCAGCAGATGTGAAAGTCTTTTGAAGATTCTCAACGATGGTAGATCTAGCAACAGAAGATATTAGAAGGCCCGCAGTGGTCAAGACGGGGGTGTATGGAGTTACTCACGCAAGAAAAGTTTTACCAGCACCCGCTATGCATCGATCAGGTCAGATTAAACCAGGGGATGGCCCGCTGGAGGAGGAGGGCTAACATACCCGGACCAACACAATAAAGTATCCGACAGCTACCAAACAACCACTTGTTGTATGTTTCGTCATCGAAGATCCATTCGCATGTACCTTTTTGTCGTCTACCACACAAGTCCGCCAGCCTCATGGAGCATTTCGTTGCTGATTGACTAGTGATATACTCGTAATCTTCACATCTTGGCGTGCTTGCATGTATGGAGTCTGGGCGGGCCGGTTGTCAGTCGGACCACGGTACCAAGTTAACCCTTGACTCGAACTCACCGGAATCCAGTTCTTGATACTGTCTAAATTTGACCCGGAGCTTTTCTTCAACGTGATTCTTTTCTCTATCAATTTTCAAAGACATTTTAACACCTGCATCAAAAGTTTTAGAAGCAACGAGGGAACCTTACGATGATCCAGGTTGCATGGCCAAGATCATCATGATCTTGAACTGCTCCAGCCTAGGTATGAAGGTATTCTCCAATAGGCGCTTTCTGAAAAGACGAGCACTCACCCCACCGGGCTGGAGATAAACATCCATTGCCTCGATGGTAGACTCCAAAGGATTGAGGGCCTCGTCCAGGTTGAGTAGGCGTGATGGATCCACGATCCATTTCTCCTCTGCCCATGTCAACTGATCCTGAAGTCGACATAGTAGATCCTGCAATTCGCAAAGAAGTAGCAAGGCCCGATTTGAGATATCCTGTGAATCCCTGCTTCCACCAAGACAACGAAGGACTACACGTATGGAATGAGAGACTGTAGTGAGACGTCCTCGAACCGCTCGGCTGGTGGCCATTTCGTGCAATATCCACTCGCCACCCAGGCGATACCTTCAGTGTCCTAGAGAAGAGGGGGCCTAAAAGCACGCATATTTAAGACCGGAAATATGGACGAGGAAAATAAGGTAGATTGATCCTGGGGAAGCACGTGATTATTTGTAGGAGAGAACCAGGAAACCTGGGGCGAACTGATAGGCACATGGTCCAGGAGATGCGAAGATGGATCCATGCAAATCCATCCTAGGCACACAGCTGACGTTGAAGAGGCAGTAAAAGTTTCCCCCTGCATAGAAAAGGACGATTCGTCCATACAAAGGACACTGCGTGTCCAAATTGACGTTTTCAGAACGCCGTTGGGACTGAGGGCGCTAGATGAAACATGAGCTAATACATATATCAACTCTATCTTCCGGGGACTGGGACCACGAACTCGCGTGCGCAGAGGCGATACGAACAAAATCCATGTGTGGTCAGCTCAGATAGAAAATATCAGGATTCAGGGCGACTATAGGTCATTCTTAAGAGAGCTTGCGCCGAGACTCTAGAGTCGTGCTAGAATCATCCACTCACAGTGAGTTTCCAGCCGCCAGGATGTGACGAGATTTCAATGTGCAGGGGGTGGGGGCCTTACACCGCCAGACACAATACTGAACCTTTTTTCTTGCCCGTATGATCAACAATTGGTGAGAAGGCGTCACGCTATTCCACATTGAACCGCAGAAAGTCACGTTTGCCTCCTGGACACAGATCAGCAGGCTCTCATCCACTACTCACTCGACTGTAGGATACTAAATAATTGCAATATTGCTATACAAAAATAATTTACATGAGAGACGATTGAAGAGTACCATGAGATGCAATTCAGTTTCAAAGCCAGTATGCCCGACGAAGATGGTGCGAACCATCGTTCCCTGCACCGAGTATACCATCCATCTACTATGAAAGGGGAATCGGATAGATATGACTGCAAGGAAATTCGTAAAAGGTTGACCTGTAAGCCAGGAACTCGTAGACAAACAAATAAAATTCAAAAAATGCGCCAAGTGAGAGCCAATCAAGCTTCTGATTATTCAACACGGGTATCTGTGAAGGGGAAAAGAGAAGTTCAGAAGAGAGATCGGTATTGGCGAAGTGTGTAAAATAATCAAATCATGTTGCTCCCATTTATATTGACTGTGTCCCCAGCTTGCAGAGCACGCTTGGTGGTCTTAGCCAGCATCACCTCTCGCATCCATTCGATGCGTTCATCGCGAGTTTTGACGGCGAAGTGGTGGGATTTCCCACTGTTCAAAAGCATTGTTTTGCGATCAATAAGACCACCGCCGTTGTTAGGCGCTGGAATTAACGAGAATGCAAAGGCCGAATCCCCTGTCGCATTATCTCGACGCTTCAAGACTGTTTTCTTGAAGGCAGCTGTCAACTTTGAGCTAGACGCGAGCGAGGAGCAAGCGACAGCATAGTCATCCACATCTATGTACTCCAACGCCTTGGAGTTACGATGGGCAGATTCCTCGTCATTGTGCATTGCTAGCTGAGTTCCCTTGAGCGTAAAATGATGGTCCTGCCACTCATGTCGCAAGAGCCGAGTAGTCTTCCGCTTTTTCATCCATCCACAATGTGTCACTGCATCGTGCTCACGTTGGCCCGAAGTAGCATGGCTCTTGTTTCGGCAACTAGGTGCTCGAGGCATCCTTTGGAGGTCTTCAGGAGTTTCAATAGGCCTCAATGCTCGGCTATCTTTGAGATGGTCTAATGATGCGACGTTGTGGGTTGAAGGACGCCGTTGGTGGTTCTCTGTCTTGGTAGATTCTGGTCGAATCAGGGGGTCCGCCATGATAAATCTCTCATTTCCGAACCGCATGTTCGGAGGAACAGACTGGGACTCCTCTCGCGCAACTGGACCAATGGGCAATGCGGTAACGGGGGCATCGGTATCTGAGAAAGGTGTTTCTTGTCTATAACATGGATCGAGACGATAGAAATCACCAGGGGACATGCCTGTTCCACGCAGCGGTATCTGCTCATTCCCGTGAATCGCAGTCATATTATTTGACATGAATTGACCTCGTCGAGATAGCACCGATGGCGTGACGGTTTTTTGGGCCGACAGGCCTCCAGAAAAAGCCGAGCTGTCAGAATTATGCATGCTGGGAATCCGGAGTCGTGGCAAATGTCGCAGATTTTCTGCAAGAGTAGGGGTGACTTTAGCGGAGTCAGGAGATCCAGACTCAGGAGACGATAGAAGCTCTCGTGGTGGACTGGCAGGTTCATTGACCGTCTGCAATCTGTCCAGGCTCTGGAAGTTCAAAAAGTTGCGCACATTTTCCTGCGGGTCTCTTGGTTGAACTGCCTTCAACTTCTCTTGTGACAACTGGAAAGCAGATGGACGATTGTATCCCATCACATCAGAAGATGCGGTCAGAGACGGGGTGATCTCCGATTTTGGCGATTTCAGAAGATTGGGTGCAGTTCTGGGATTCCCAGGATCTCCAGCCACAACTGCTCGGCCTCCCAACGATTCAATCGGCAGGTCTTGTGCCAAACGGGCCAATTTTGCCTGCTGCTTCTGCCACTTACGGCACTCAATCGTGAGGAGGGGGGTTGAAGACGCCTATTCTCTAGCTTTCCACGTGTTGTGGAGTCCGAGGTGGACTTTCTTCAACGTAGGATCGAGGCTGCATAAGACAAACGGACTACGACTGGGGACACCAGCGCTCTGAGCGACTTAAGTGACCTGCAGCCTTCCCGAAACCCTGTACGTCTGACTATCATTCCCTAGGAGGGGAAAGCTCTTCAGTAAGTTCAAACAAGGACCGGTTAGCGCGGCTTCAAGATACGGGACCCATGATCTTCAGGTCCCAAAAGTTACGTCGTGGCCGTGATTGCCCGATCGATGCGAATGTGACACGTTCAACAGACTATGCCCACATTACGCTAGTCGGGATGAGGAGAGACAATGCATCTTATCATTACTATGTTTGGTTAAGCCTCCCGTGTAATGCGTTCCCCGTGCGACTGGCCAATTTGATCGGCGTTTCAGAGCTATTGAATTCGACCCTTCGTCAGCGTAAATAGTGAGATTAAAGACCAAATTTGATGCCTTCTTCGTGATGGGAATAAAGGCCTTTATGATTCCATTTCTTCAGGATCGACAAATATATTGTTTTTAATGACAACTAGTCTATGGGGTCATCCATAGCTCATTACTTTATTTCAACTTTTTGGTAAGCATTACTTCGTTGCCCTCTTTTAGACAGAGTTTATTCCAAATTCCATAACTAAGACTCAAACGCGTTATTCATCGCGTACATTTGTTTCCCTCAGTAGCTAGTCCTCCCCTATCCTTTTCGTGTCGCAAGCAACCTTGCCAACCTAAGAATATTCCCATTGCTCCAGCCACATGAAAATTGAACTTAATCCAGGATATGAACACAAGCAAAGGGAGCGGAATCTTTCTCCCACAAATCAAACCCAAGCAACCTTTCCCATCCATCAACTAATGAATTCGAGATACTCGGGCGCATGAGCCCATCCAACAGTATCCAGAGCAACAGACGCTTCCCCAGAAGCACCAAGAATTATACTCGAAGCATTGCAAACCCTTTTTGCCTTTTTTACGTTCCGATCGGGAAATTCTCGCACATCTCCCTTGCGCACACCTATGCTTGTGGGGGAAGCAATCGGTGTCGACATCACAGCCAAACTCACACATTCCGCTATCATCGCATCGATAGCCATAGTCGCAGTCCGCGTTGGTATCACAGAACTCCTCGGTTGGGGGCATGTTCCCGAGAACAGATGGTCGTTGCGACGCTTCCAACGAGGAAGTGCCGTTACTGTTATCTGAGTCGCGTGCGATCATTGAATGGTTTCCTGGGTGAATGGCAATTCCCGATGGGCTTCTGTGATCGCTATTTATTGGCGCTGCCAGTACCTGAGTTGTTTGGAAGCAACTGAGGACTGAAAGGCCGAGGACTGGAGAAGAAATATCAGTAAAATGCACGCTCGAAGCATTTCATGCATACAACGAACCGAATACATGTCCCTTGGAGACACTTGGAAGCGTGACAATCATCTTGTACAGGGTCAAGCGTTGGTATGATCTGATGTCTATAAGTTTCGTACAGTTGACTCTTCAAGACAGGATGGATCTCTGCCATGGTGTCAGTAGATGAAAACACATACCAATAATAGAGAGCAGACCCACAAATCGGTGTATAATATACGATGGAGAGGAGAGGAGGAATCGAGAATGTCTGAGTGAAAAAGAATTTTCCGACTGTCGCTTCTTGAAAAGGGTGCTTTGTTCCAAGAAGGAATGATAGCTACTGCATAAGGCAACTTCGATCCTCCGGGTCTGCCTACAATGGAATAGATATGATTCAACCTACCACGGACTCGGGATCGGACCCAAAGAATCATCCTTCCAAAGCAGACCATCCAGGTTGCACTGGAAACCTTTTTTGATAAAGAAGAGGATTCTCCAAGAGCCCTGTGCTTACAATCATGGGAGGCAAAGAAATTTTGGGTATGCGAACATCCTTTTGCAGACCTCTTAGATTTGGAATAAAGCTTTCGTGGCAGTGTGATCACATAGTCAACATTTGAGGGACCTGGTCAAGCCGAGAAATCCCCTAGATCGTCGAATACCTAAATCAGGAATCAATCTTTCTGGTAAAGGATTAGTACCACGACACCGCGAACTACCACGGAATTTGTCGCCGCTTCACTTGCGGTGTCGGCGCTCCTGCCTGACCTCGACTAGTCGCTTCTATGCCTGCTCGAGTCTCGGGCTACATCGACAGTCATCATACTCAACGAAACATATCGGACAGCCTGATTTGGTGCATCGGTGAACTAGCCAGTACGAACCCCCTCATCTCATAGTGGAAGGAAACGAACCCCTAGACCCAACCATTTCTCAGATAATGATCAACCCCATCTTGTCGTGGAATACCAGCCAGCGGCATCAGCTACGATGAAACCTAATTTCTTGCCTTGGAAGAATAGAAAACTAAGTTCGGCAAAATAGATTTAACACCAACATCAGCATTCAAATCTGAAGCCTAGAAAGAGAGAAACCATCACCAGCGTATGTCTGATAAACACCAGTAAATGTACAACGAACTCCTCTTCTAGGTAAGTTAATGAAAAGGGCATCACGGCGTCACAAAGGAAAGGGTAGAAGAGAGTCGGTCGGTCAGGTAGGGGGGCCAGTGATCACCAAACAGAAAAGAGCCTGGACGGGGCGAATCCACCAACACCACCACAAAAAAAACACCGAGGCCTGTATGGGTCATAAGAAAGTTGCCAAACCCACAACATAGCAAGCCAAACTCCGTGATGGAACAAAGAGGTATGCGCAAGAATCGAATGGAAAGTCACAATGACAGTTGGTCAGTAGCAACAAGGGAAACAAATTGAACCCACAACGCCAGTACACCATGATGAGGGGAAAATCGCTCCAAAATGGGATGCGAGGAATTGACAAAGGAAAGAAGAATCAGAAAGGTCACCGAAGGTTGCGGATAACCTTCTTGCCACGGGCGAGGAAAGGGCTGGGCATCTCATCGCGCTCTGGGTCCCAGATAGCAGGTGGCTCGCGCTCGGAGGATTTCATGCTTGAGGCATGAGGAGTGGCGCGAGAGTCGCTAGCGCATCGCTTGAATTCGTCCACTGGACGACCGCCAGCCCTAGCCTGGGCGAGCTCGACCAGGGTGCGACCACCCATGTTGCGCTGCATCACAGCCTTGAACATCTCGTCGCCGCCGGCATTGTTGGCCTTGACGGGGGGCTGCTTGGTAGAGTTTTTACGAGTAGGAGATCCAGCATCAGCAGCGAGGTTGGCAGAGGATGGAATCTTGGACAGGCGACGGTGAGGAGATTTAGCCCGTCCCTCGTTCATGTTGGTACGGCCGTCGGATTGGGAGGCTGATGGACCGCCAGACATCTGGGGAAGTCGAGATCCATTAGAAGGGAATAGAGGGGGTTGAGTGCTGAGTTTCTGCATGAGAGCAGCAGTGTTCTGGCGCAGGAGCGGTCGAGGAGGCGCCTTGAAGGGATCAGGCTTGACCTTGGGGCGAGTCGGAGATGGTAGATCAGGAGTATCATCCTCATCGTCAGAGTAAGCCAGAGTGGGTTCCCACTTGGCCTTTTGGCGCTCAGCTTCCGCAAAGATATTGCGGGACGTGCCCGAAGCGGAGGTACGACGAGGTGAAAGTGAAAGTGAAGCGATGGACATGGGGGACGGCTCGGCCATTTGCACATCCTGAGGCGATTCTACTACTGTCTTGGAGCGACAGAATGGAGTGCGAGTCTCTTTCCTTGGCTTCCTGTTGTTGGAGGTAGGAGACTCAAGCGATAACTGACTGATGTCAGTGCTGGACGGAACATCAGAGTCGTCGGTCACGACACCAGAAGAACGCGATTCACGACCACTAGTCCGAGATGATCCTTGCGAGCTGGAATCAGAGCGGCGAAGACTGGCACGGAAGAGCTCCTCCCGAGGGTTACTGTGTCTCTTCTGCTTCTCTAGCTCGATGGAAACGCGGTCTTGGACCTCCGCTTCGAAACGCTTGCGAAGTCGGTCCAGTTCGCCTTGCACTTGGCGATCAATCTCTAATCGCGCCTTCACCTCCCACTCCCGACGAACAGTATTTTCAATGTCAACCTTAAATTGCTGTTTTTCTTTGTCCATGTTGGCCACCTTCTGTTCCATCTCGCGAACCTTCTGCACGGCAACCTCCTCCCGGCGGCGCAGGGTCTTGCCAAGATCCACTACTTCCTTCTCCTTTCGCATCAGACGAATGATAGGGAGGTTGATCAAGGCGGCCGTATCCGGGCGGTTATCAGGATTGACACGCAGGCAGCTCCCAATGACATTTTTCAATTCAGGCGAGTAGTAGTCGGGTAGGGGTGCGTATTTGCCCTCGCGGATCTTCTGCACCAATTGGATGTGGGTGCGCGCGTTGAAAGGGGGCTCCTTTGCGCAGAGCTCATACATGATGCATCCGACAGCCCAAATGTCCGATCGGAGAGTATACTTCTCGGCTGCACAAATCTCGGGGGACATGTAGAAAGGGGTGCCGACATATGTGGATGCGAAATCGTGGGATTGCATCTGCTTGGACAGACCGAAGTCGCCAAGCTTCACAGTATTGTCGCTCCCGAGGAAGATATTCTCGGGCTTAAGATCACGGTGCAGGATGGTGACCTGCCCCTGCTTTCCCTTCAGACCAGATGGCTTTGGCGGTGCTCCAAGGATGTTCGATCCAACTTCCGCAGGGTCCGCTCCGTAATGACACCGGAACAAGGCAGTGACCAGTTGTGACAAAATGCGCCAGACGAATTCCTCCTCCGCCAACTTGTTCGCCTTCTTGAGGTTCTTGATAACCATGCTCAAGTCTCCACCGCCGCAGTATTCCATGTACAGGTATAGATCTTGGCTGGCTTTGAGGTGTTCGCGGTGGTAGTAGGCGACAATGTTCGGATGTCGGAGGGAGCTCAGGATATTGAATTCAGCCGTGAGCTGCTCGCGCTCCTTTTGAGACATCTTGATGTAATTGATTTCTTTCCGGCATAGTATCTGCAACCAGTCAGGTATGTCCTACACCAGGAGCCCGCGACAATATGGAACCACTCACGTATCCATCGGATTTCCGCTTGACTTTACGAATGATACCGAAGGAGCCACAGCCTAGAAGATACATGATCTGTTAGAGGAGATTGCATAAAAAACATAAGCCATATGCTGTACCACTTACCGATCTTCTCCAAGATCTCATACTTGTCGGCCTCAGCCAAAGCAATCGCCATGGCTATAGATTACTGTACAAGACAGTCGGGATCACAGGTGTCGAATGGATATGAGAAGGGAGGTAAAGTGAGAAAAGGTCATGGAAGGAGAGAGTCGACGGAGGTCCCTGTGTTGTTAGTAAGGTGAATTGAAGAAATGGTGGAGGGAAAAGTTGAAGACGGTATGGGGTTTAGAGGTTCGGCGATCCTCAGTGTTTGGGTGCTGCTACGTTGCACAGCAACGGGGGCCATGACGCTTGCCCCTCAACGGCAAGCGGTCGCGGCGAACAGAACGGGCGATCTACGGTGGACCATCTCCTTTGATTGCCTTGGCCAATTGAAAAATATTACAATCGATGTACATATCACTGGTAGGGGCACAATAATCCCATGTACATGACACTCCTCTTCCAATAACTTGGTAATTGATGATTGTAACTCCATACTTGGTGACTCGCTGTAACATACAAACGGCACTTCTTACGTAGCCCTAACTGACGTCACATGATCTTATCGATAAGCCAGTGACCTGGTCCCGCATCTGATCGAGTCTCCTCCCACTTCGAAGTGGAAAGTGATACTCAAGCCCGAAAGGAAACATGGAAGAGAGGACTGTACTCCGCAAGGATCAACTGGAGATCAGCTTGCACAATGAGAAAAGACTAATCAAGGAAGGCACTATCAAGGACGACAACCCGCTAGACCTGAGTGAGCCATTCCGTGAACTTTGCAGTGCTTGCCGGAGGGGCGATCTGAAAGTCTGCCAGGAGAAAATCACCGAGGGCGTCAATGTGAACGCTCGTGATCTATATGATTATACGCCATTAATCTTGGTGAGTGCTGGGAAAGCAACTGTTCTCTTTTCAGTCTCTCCACTATATCTCTTCAACATCATCAGGGACTGATATATATCCTCGGACAGGCTAGTCTATGCGGACACTACGAAGTCGCGCAACTATTACTTGAATCAGGTGCATTATGTGAACGAGATACATTTCAAGGAGAAAGGTAATTCTGTCTTCAAAACTACCATTGGAGCACGTCGAAGCTAAATCACGAACCCTGGTAGATGTCTATACAATGCCTTGAACGATCGGATACGCAACCTCCTCCTCGAGTACGACTATTCCAAGTCAACGGACCCACTCCAGCCCCTTGCTGCGCACATAGCCTCATTACTCACTCGAGAAACCCCTGTCACGGCTGATATTACCATCGACGTCGCCGACCAGGATATCGCCCTCCACAAATTCATATTAGCCGCCCGCTCTCCTTATTTCCGTACCAAGCTTGCCACTGCTCCGGAGACGACAACATGGAGGCTCCCGACTACGATTCCGCCGGAGGCCTTGCCGCTGCAATCCGATATTTATACCTGGGTGAAGCTCCCCGCGAGCTGCGGAGCGGACCAGGGACTGGATTTACAGAATCCGAAGTCTTCACTGGCATCGATAAGATCTCTCAATACCTCGAAATTGAAAGTCTTATGGAAAGCCTCTTAGACAGCGGCGATAGACGACGCGCAAGGCAACGCAGAACCACGGAACTTGGCAAGGGCCGTGATCAAATAGAAGAGTGGTTCCGGCAAAATGTACTGGGCAACAGGGTGGTTATTGAGACCTCGAAACTGGATGAAGTCAAGTGGTGCCGCAACAATGCAATCTTTGCAGACGTCCTGCTGCGAGCAGATGAGCTGCTAGACGAGGATGAGGACGCTTCAGATGAAATTCCGAAAACTACCTTGTTCCCCTGTCACCGCGCGATGCTCCTCCGATCGGAGTTCTTCCAAGCCATGTTCACGTCATCTTTCCGAGAAGCGCATGTTAAGGACCAGCTGCACATTATCGACGTGGACTGCTCGCCGGACGTTCTAGAGATTATCTTGACATTCTTATACACCGAGCGGGCAGATTTCCCTCTGGAAATTGCCGTTGACGTTTTGTTCGCCGCTGACATGCTCTTTATCGAGAAGTTGAAGACCAAGGCAGCTGTGGTCATCAGTACCTTGGGCAGTGGTGTCTCACAAGCCGAAGCAGCCAGGACCCGTGGTACTCAAGATGAAGACGATATCGACATTTATGCAATTATCCGAGCTGCTTGGTTGACTCGCGTCCAACGTCTGGAAGAATTTGCCGCTCGCTTCCTTGCATATAGACTAGAGGCACATATTGATTTGCCTGAGTTCGCGGAATTAATCAAAGAGTCTGCGGCTCGCATTCAGGCGCGTCAGGAAACTGATTCCATTGAGTTGCTGGATGATATTCGCTTCTACCTCAACGAGCGGTTCAGATTGCGGTTCGACGATGCAGGTCTTGACGAGTTGATGGAAGAGCAGCCACAACCCGCGAATGGCGAGGACACCGCACAGACTGAAGATTTGGAGAAGATTACAGAAGGAGTTGAGGCAATGAAGATCGCCAAGACGACCGCACCAGACACGCGTTCCCAGCAACCGCAGGGGTATACCCGGGAGATTCGGACACTGGACGGTGCGCTCGTCGAGGACGAATTTGACGAGGACGCGATGAACTACCAGATCCTGTTGGAGAAGCTGGATGCCCTCTTGGAGAGACTGAACCTGGACGCTTAAGCTCCATGTCCAGAGCGATCTTACGATCGATAGCAAAACTGCCAATGCAGCTTTGAATGTATCTACTCTATGATCTTACGACCGTGATTTACAGCATTTGGCATTAGAGAAACTGAGTTTTGCACATAAATATCGTTTATATACAAGGCAGGCAAAATCTATATATACATATTGGTTCCATGATGCTTCATGTTATGCCTGGATCAAACCAAGCTGTCTGCACTTCTCCCTTATAGATGAACTTGCCACGCAATGTGTGTAGAAATGAGCCATGTATGTCGAGGACACAATTCGATAGTCTCTCATGTGCCGCAGAGCCAATCGACTGGTCAGAATGTCTTCCTTCATTCCATGGGGCGACGGACTCATGCGTCGCTTCCCAACGACGTATTTTTGATCAGGATCTTGGTTGAGCTCATGGCGGTCCGCCTGCGGGTACTCGGAGGTTTAGAAACGCTCACTGCCATTTAATAATGTTCCTGAACCAGCCATGACAGTGTGGAAGCAGAAGACCTAGATTGGCCAATTGGGGGCTCCCACCCTCGGTGTTCGTGATGATTGCTTGTTTCAAGCGGCAAGTGAATATCGCCAGAATCACCGCCGTCCTTCAGGTTGTTCCTTGTCCTTGCCTGATGCGGCTCTCTGCCTCTTTTCTTCCATCTTGGCATCCAAGTCCCGGATCTGATTCTCAAGTATCCCTTTCCGCGCAGTCAGGTTGGAGCGCATGTTCTGAAGGGCTGTAAGTTGTTCATCGAAGGTGGCTTCCTGGCGTTTTCGTGTAGTCTAAACAGGCAATGAAAGAATAATGTTAGAATCCGACAGACACCCTGACAACCTAGCCTATACACGTTCTTTCATTGGATATGCCAGCTGCCGCGGACGAGCCGGTCCACAAACTTACCTCCGCAATCTCCTCCGTCGTCTTCAATCCTGCTCCATATAACGAACTGGCAATTGTAATCGATGTCACAGCGGCCGTCAAGACCAGACGGCGTACATTTTGAGGTGAGGGCATCTTTTGATGCGATATGAGAGGTTGGTTCGATCTTAACCTTGTCTCGTAGCTGCAACAAAGAAATCCCCGAGCCCACCGCCTACTCAGACGGGCCTTAGTATTGATCCGCCACAAAGACGCGTCGGTCGCGCGTGGGACTTTCTTTATCATGGACATGGCCTTGCGCCTCAGATCCCCTCCCCTCCATTCCACCAACACAATGTCGTCTCCTAGCGCAAATCACAGCGCAATACCCCGCCGTCGTCCTCGAGATGACGATAGCGATGACAGCGACGATTCCGATTCTGTCAACGCGACTCCCGCCTCCAACAGCAAGCGTCCTCGCCTAAGCCCCGCCGATGAAGGACCCGATCGAGACGATGAGGAGAGTGAGGAGATTGAGAATGGGCAAAGCGATACAACTGAGGGTCAGGATACGAACCAGGCTCCTGCGCAACGCCCGACAGCTCACCTTGGGGTCGGTCCCGGAGGCTACAAGCCCGGGGCGATCATTCGAATCAAAGTCGCCAATTTCGTGACATACACGTCCGCTGAATTCCATCCTGGTCCGAAACTGAACATGGTAATTGGTCCAAACGGCACAGGCAAGAGTACCTTGGTCTGCGCAATTTGTCTAGGTCTCGGTTGGGGCCCTCAAGTATGTCTACCTACCCTACGCGAATGTTTTCCAAGGCCAACACTGATCATGTTCTTTTCGAATCAATAGCATCTTGGACGAGCAAAGGACCTTGGTGAATTCGTCAAACACGGCTGCGCAGAAGCCACCATCGAAATCGAGCTCGCCGGTCCGCCGAAGATTACTTCAAACCCCATTATACGTCGTACCATCAAACGCGATGGAAACAAGAGCTCATTCACTATCAACGGACGGAGTGCTAGTCCAAAACAAGTCGCGAATCTCGTGCAGTCATTTGCCATTCAAGTGGATAACCTGTGCCAGTTTCTTCCTCAGGACAAAGTTGCCGAGTTTGCGGCCCTTTCTCCCGTTGAGCTTCTCCATTCTACACAGAGAGCTGCAGCTGAGCCGGAGATGACCGAGTGGCATAAGAACCTCAAGGATCTCCGTCAAAAGCAAAAGCAACTTGAACTTGAGAATCGCGGTGACAATGAGACTTTGGCAAATCTCAAAGATCGACAAGAACAGCAAAGAGCAGAGGTGGAGAACATGCGGCAGCTGGCTGTAGCACAGGAGACAATGGAACTTTTGGAGTTTTGTCGGCCACTTGTGGAGTACAGAGAGTACCGCAAGAAATTTGAGGAGCTCAAAGAGAGAAAAGCTCAGGTCGAGAAGGAGGAGGCGCAACTCAAGACCGAACTTGAACCTGCCCTGGCCGCAGTCACCGCCAAGCAGAGCTATGTCGAGCAGATCAATCAGGTTCGGAACCACCGCAAACAGCGAGCTCAGCAATTGTCCAATACAGCCACGGCTTGCGAGAAACAGGTCGCCAATCTGCAAAATTTGAATGATGACCTGGACAGTAAAATATCGGCCGAGAAGAAAACTTCTCAAAAGCACAAAGCTGAGGCGACCCAGGCGCAGCAGAAAGTGAACAGGTACAAGCGTCAATTGGAGGAAGACGCCGTAGAGTTCGATGCTTCTCACTACAACGAACAGCTGGTAAGTTTCCCTCTTTTGGTAGGGCATAACAGCCAATGATTCGTACTCATACCTGATATCTGCAACCAGAGAGAAAAACGACTTGCTCAGCGTGAGCTTCAGGCAAAAGCAAGTGATATCAAGGAGCAACGAGGACCATTCCACGACAAATCAAAAGAACTGTCTGGCCAGATCGAAGAGGCCCAGACGCAAATGCAAAATCTGGACTCCCAGATGGGCCAGCAGGAAATGAGGCTGCAACAGCTGTCTCTGGAGACACTCAAAGCTCATCGGTGGGTTCGAGATAATCAGAACAAGTTCGAGAAACCCGTCATCGGTCCTCCTATCGTGACCTGCTCGATCACAGATCCCAAGTATGCCGATGCCATTGAGTGTCTTCTTAACAGAAACGACTTTTTGGCATTTACGGTCCAAACCAAGAAAGATTTCCGGACCTTGCAGCAACAGCTGATGGGTCAAATGCGACTTCACGATATCACTATCAAGACGAGTCCCCTTCGAGACAATCGAGAAACCCCAGTATCGGACCAAGAACTCCGACAACTAGGGTTTGACGGCTGGGCAAAGGACTTTATCAGTGGACCTGATCCAGTTATTGCCTCTCTTTGCATGGAAAATCGCTTCAGCCAAACTCCCATCGGGCTCAATCATTTTACGGGTGAACAGACAGAAGTTGACGACCTTCGCCGAAAGAAAATCACCCAATTCGTTGCCGGGCCTCAGATGTATCAGACTAGTTACCGTGCAGAGTATAACGCTTCTTCCACCAGCATCAAAGGAGTTCGGCCTGCTAGAGTCTGGACATCACAGCCAATTGACACGTCTATCAAAGACACACTTCGCGAGAATATTGCGTCGTGGAAAGAACAAAAAGAAGAAGTTGAGCGGCAGATTCAGGCATTCAGAAAAGAGCTGGGAGTCCTCGAAAAATCTCACCAGGAGATTGACAGAGAAATTGTATGTTCTGATCTCTGGAACCCGTCCATCTTCCGCTTTTACTGATCAGTATTGCAGGAAACGATCGAGGAAGAAAAGGCTGCGCGGCAAAGTGCGCACACAAAGTGGCTGGCTATCCCCGAACAAATCAGTATGACCAATCGCTATCTATTGACCCGTTTGGCTTGTGTATATTGACTATCTTGCAGGTCAAGAGGAAGCCAAGGTCAGCAGTCTCCACGAGCTGTTCGCGGCGGTGAGAGAAAACGTGGCCAGATATCGAGATGAGCAGGATGGGGTTGCTATTCGAAAGGCAGAGGCAGCAATCGAATATGCGGTAAGATTTTCGTCAATCTGTGGTCTCCAAACGGGCGCTAAGGCAAGATTCAGGACGCTGCTGAGGCGGTTCGGCATGCTTATGAGGAGCTCGTCAAGATCGAGGTCTGGCACCTGGAAGCCACCTCGGATCTGAAGACTCTTCGCGAAAAGCATGCGGACTGTACACGGATGCTGGAACAGAAAGCTCAAGAAGTGAGGAAACTCTGTGAAGAATACAGAGAGAAACATGCCAGGGGTCGCTCAATGTTGCGCCAGGCCAAGCAAACCTTCGAGGCGGCTCAGGAGCGACCAAACGGCGAGGAGATCATCAGGACGGTCAACGACGCCGATTACACCCTCGATAATCTCAATGCCGATATTGAATCCCAACAAGCCCAGATGCGGCTGTTTGTCGGAGGAAACAGCAACGTCATCAAAATCTTCGAGGATCGGGAGAAACAAATCGAGCGACTGGAGGACAAACTCAGCGACTACCGAAATCAATTGGCCGAGTATGATGCTGCGATCAAGGAGGTTCGGGATTGTTGGGAGCCGAGACTGGATGCACTCATCTCCAAGATCAGCGATGCTTTCGGAGACTCGTTTGCACGCATTGGCTGTGCTGGACAGGTTAGTTTGGACAAGGTGGAAGCCGAACCTGGTCCGAACGGCGAACCTGGCGGCAGTGAATTCGACCAGTGGTCCATTCAAATCCACGTCAAGTTCCGCGAACACGAACAGCTCTCAATCCTTGATTCCCACCGTCAATCCGGAGGTGAACGCGCTGTCAGCACGATCTTCTACCTCATGGCCCTGCAGTCACTGTCTGCGTCACCCTTCCGCGTCGTCGACGAGATCAACCAAGGTATGGACCCTCGAAACGAGCGTATGGTCCACGGCCGCTTGGTAGATATCGCGTGCGACTCTGACGAAGGAGGAGCCACGGATGAGAACGGTAACCCCGTCGGTGGCGGCGGAGGTGGTCAATACTTCTTGATCACGCCCAAGCTTTTGAGCGGATTGTCCTACAAGCCTGGTATGCGGGTGCTTTGCATCTACAGCGGCGAGCATATGCCAGAGGAATATGCCAAGCTGGACTTTGGCCGGGCCGTTCGCAAGATGAGGGCAATCAATGAGAAAAGTCAGATGGCCAAGGGCAAATCGCGTGCTATCGTGAATAATTCCCAGGTCGATGTCTACGGTTGATGAGCAGCGGCAGTTTTATGAACGTGCTCGGGGTGATGGTGATGTTTACAGCGATCTTATCATGTTCTAGCGATCTTTATTCTTGTCTTTTATCCTTTCCTTTCCACTTGACAGTCCTTCTTCCCTTGTTTGTGCATTCGTCATGAATATTTTGGAGTCTTAGTGGATGGCAGATTGGGGAGTATAACGGCAATATTTTGTTATCTTCTGACTTTACTGCTTTGTTTCGCGTTGAAGGCCGGGTTGTGGTTGATTTGCATAATACCCAAGATCACAATTGACTCTTTTCTATCATGATTGATGAACCCTAGACTATAGCTTTCCACAAGTCACTCTAATGCACATCTAACTTCATATGTACTATGTTAGCATATCGATCGAAGCTTTCCAATATGAGTCAAATTTATCCGGACGTTGACCAGCGGCAGCAGAGCCCGGTTATCTGGGTCTATAACAGACGTGCCGATATATATCGTGAAGCCCTCTAAATTGACACTACCCTGCCCAGGTATGAAAATCCACCCATAGTATCTCCAATTTCACTGCCATGTCGACGACTTGAAACATCCAAATATACCCAACTCAAAGCAGATTATACCAGGCACGGTGTATCAAGCAAGCCGTACACCGCTTTGGTAGCCCCTGCTCAAATGAAGCTCTCTCCATCCTCCCGCTCGCCAAGACAGGATGACGCGGTCAATCACCAGTCATCCCACTTTAACCGGTCGCAAGCCAGAAATGAACAATATTCCGAAGCCTGTAACACATTATTATCTACTAAATTCATATCCAGATGATAGGGGCTGACTCAGTTGTAACTATATCCGGTGGTAGATATAAATATCGCATTCTATCGACGCCCCAAAGCGATAGTATCCCCATTCCAGGGACGCGATGATCACCAACGGCGTGATCGGAGGTACTAAACCGAGTAGGCATAGTGGGCATCCCCTCCATCGTCATGGCTCCAGTTGATCACCGCGCCCACGATCAACTGGCTGCATGGAATGGCTTAATAATACGTACGTATTAACTAACTATTTATTCTACTGGGATCTTGGAAGGGTCTGGGATAGCGTGAATGGAGGGAAAGTAATTTACCCCAATAATCAGACCTCATGGCGGCCGGGGTCATGGTTGGATGAATGTACGAAGGAAGCAAACCAGATCATCGGGACCTGCCTGACCAGGCCAGAATAATACATACTTACTGTATGGAGCGTACTGTACTCCGTACATGTGCTAGAGATAATGAGTTTAATGGTAATATCCAAGGAATATTCACTCGATTCTAGTGGATCGCCAACCCGTGGAATCCACCGCGAGCCTCCAGACCAACTTCTCCTTCCTTTCTGGCTCCATGCATTGTCGGCCACCCCGTGTCTGTGCCCACCCTGTCCCTGTCCACTAGCCACCTCTACTCGACCCTTGCCCAGGCTCCGTCGCCTCGGTAGGTGAGAATGGCCCTATGTACGAAATGACGGAGTCCACAGCCACGATGAAGGAGCATGGAGACCCCTACTGTAAGTATGCGCATACATAGAATATGCAGGAGGCGAGCCAACCATCATCATGATCGGAGATTAGGAAGGGAGAACAGGAGATTTTCCAGGTAAGGTAGCTAATATCCAAGCCAGAATCCCGGGGAGGATGTGGAACCAGCGCAGCCAGCAGCTCGCTAGCTTTGCTTTGTACATACAGGAAACATGCTTGTTAACGACCAAGTTTGGGGGCCCATCTGCGAGCTTTGCAGTGTGACGAGGCTGCATCGCCAGGCGCGGCGTTACATTGGCGATCTTCGTTGCATTCCTTTGGGGGTCAAAATTCTCCGTTCTCCATAGATTATTACAATAGGATGGAGACACATATACGGGTATTGCTGGTAGTCTCCTGACTTGGTTGCTAATCATTCCCTAGAATTACTACCTCACCATAAGTTTATGATTCAAAGTATGCGTTCTTAGAGCAGCGCTAATGTATACCCATTCTAGCTACCTACTGGAAGGAGCAAAGGGTGTCGATCAGATAGCCCGTACGACGACTGAGTTCACTCCGTATACAACAGGGAAACGATAGTCTTGATTTTCATGCCTGTCCATGATCCATAGTCTTCTTTGCGTTCGAGTCTCTTGAGAGTCAGTTAGAGCTAATAATAAAAATAATGTAAATGCCGACGCATCGCGGCGAAGGCGTGGGCTCGACCGCAAAGAACCATCATTGTTACTTCCAAACAACCCTGTTCAACTCGGACAAGGTCACGGAAATAGTTGAGATTGGAGGGATGCCTTAATTTGATGACTCTTAGATTATCTATCAGTCTTCTGATTAATTATTATTCTTCGACGGCGGAAGACAATCCTCGGCTCATCCTGATACTGGATACATACTGCGACTCCGCCCGTTACCACTTGCAACTTTGCTTGCACACGCTCTGAACACCGCGAGACTTATTGAGACCGATAGCAATATGCGACGGACCTCAGCTAAGGCAGGCGATCCTCGTGTTAGTCGTGACCGACAGCACGCTACATACTCCGGACCACTACTGTACCGAGTATGGACTCGTGTCATGCAGATCGACCACCGGGCGTTTCCGCCGCCGATCACGGACCCCATTCTCGGAGGGTTTTCATGCCAATCGTTGGGCGACGTTGGGCATTCCCCTCTCTCTCACGACCAACTCTAAACCGGCTGGATCCCTTGGAGGGAGCTCGCAGCGCGTTCTTTGGGGGATTTGCCTCTCGCTCCTCGGCAAATATGCGCGAAGGCGAGTTTTTATTTACTCGGATGTGAGTCCTACTGATGCCTACAGAGAGAACCAAGGGGCATTTTTCTCTGAACGGTCTAGCCTTGCACTTCCATTGCCCTTCATGGACTCTCTCCAGCCCTCCTCTCATCGCAGGACTCACAAGACCGAGGGCACTGTATCCGTGATCGACAGTGCGCCTCATCTGTGGTGGAGATGGCTGGGACGATTGGTCCGCGAATCTACGATCCCGTCGGAAATAACCCTCAGCACAACCAGTAAACTTGCCAGAATGACATCAATACCCCTCGTCAAGTTGACCAGCATCTTGCACTCCAAACGAATGATCCCAAGAAAATGAATCTGGACTCTTACACGTTGCATCCAGGGCGGACTCCATCATCCCACGCACCCACTGTGTCGGCGCATGGACCGGAAATTACTTGGAGGCGTCCCATGCCGCTTTGTGTGGCGGGATGAAGCCGTCCGGTCACACGTGGGGTTGGACTCGAGAACTGACTCAAGGACAGACTTCGACTGCAGTATGAAATGCAGTTGGTGCACTGTACGAAGTACTGCACGCTTTGACGCAAACCTTGAGCTTGAGAAGTTGGTCCCTTCTCCAGCTGCAAAGTCAACTCTGCAGTGCGACACATCTCCCTTCTGTGATGTGTACAAGCTCACTGACCGTTCACCGCTCCTCTCTGGTTGGTGACTGACAGCCAGGGTCATCATCCCACAGGATACAGACTGTAGAATGCCCCAGTCCATCTAGACAAAAGTCTACCCCCACGAGGATGACGCATCTTCAAACTTAACCAACCTCCTCTTTCACAGCGATTTCGGAATTTCCATGATTCCAAGCTTAGGCAACCTCGAAAGACTAGCTGCAGACAACCATCCCCAGCCCAGTTCCACATCAAATAGATCGCGCGGACGGATCTCCGTGGCGCCGTTTCCCTAATTTCAACGGTTGCCATCCTAGCCAGCCCGAACCGTCATTGCGCTCGCGCCCTGTACGGAGCAGAAAGTGCGTCTTTCGCTGGTGGCTTACTTGTATCCGCAGCCCTGGTGCAATATGGAGCTGCTTCCAATCTCCCCGGGATGTGGTGCTGACACCTACTGAACGGCGAGTGTGTGGGCGTGGATGTCATGCTTGACTCGTGACTGGTTGAACCCATTGACCCTGTGATGCGATGTGTAGAGCATGGGAAGAGCAGGGCGCTTCGAACACGAAATGAGGAGCTTTGTGTTGCGCTCATCTCATCTCATCGAGGAAGTACCTACATACGTCCGATCCAAAGATAGAAGGCAGATAAAAGCACAGACCGCTGGAGGGACAGTGGTGAGGAAGTATAACAATTGAGGACATTCAAGATTATCGTAATGGTACCACTAGCAGCCACGATTCTAATACATGATCAAACATAGGGTACAATATAGTATGAGCTAGCTACAGAGAAATAGAATGTATACCCCACCATAAGCAGATTAGATAGGTCTGATCTATGACTCCTACCATATTCAAGCTAGCCTGAGCTTAATGCGCCCATCCGCAACGATTCCAATCTCCAATAACGTGGCCGGAGAAATACAAATGTACAGTATTCTTTGACCACAAACAACCCTGGTCAGATCAGACACAAACAGGGCACACACCCCATGTTCCACAACAGGTCCCATCGTCCCGTTTTAGGAGCATATTCCGATCCCAGCGTCGCACGACGTGTCGCGTGGAATCGCGTCCGTAAGCTGGAAATTGGGAAATTCAGATCTGGATGGGACCAGATGACAATATTCTCTAAGCGATGGCACCCTTTCCTTCCTCTTGGGTTTTCTTTTTTGGGGTGCTTCCAGGGGAAATACGGAGGTCAGCAGCTGTCCTGAATTGTTCTTCGGACTGACTGTGCATGGAGTAGGCAAGCGCTTGCGCATGACAAATGTACTGTACAATACAACAGATGAACTTAGGATACTACCAGATTTGACACTATTTGACTGTGGGCGTATTGTGAATGATTCTACATCAGATCTTCGATGTATTTGAGCAACACCCTGCAACACGCTGCTCCAAACACTGAATCTAATCGAGGCCCCAGGCACATACACTTGACCATGAATGGGATGTAACTGTAAGATGATCTCCTGCAGCACAAGTAAGAGGTTGATATGGAAATTAGCCAAAAGAGGCAATTTTAAGCTACTCTGAGACTGGCCAGCGCAACCTACTCGACGGGTTTGATTTTGCCCATCC